GCCAAGAAGCGCAGAAAGGAGGACCCCAGCGCCAATGTCTGGGGCCCTGATGAGCTCGTGCCCTTCGCCGACCGCTTCTCCGCCAAGGAAATCATCACCACCTGGCTCCGACCCTTCAAGATGTTCCTCACTGAGCCCATCGTGCTGGTTCTCTCCCTGCTTTCGGGATTCTCCGACGCTCTCATCTTCATGTTCATCCAGTCCTTCGGCCTGGTCTACAAGAAGTGGGACTTCGACACTGTCCAGATAGGACTCTCTTTCCTCTCCATCGGTGTTGGATACGTCCTCGCATGGATCCTCTTCATCCCCGCTATCCAGCGAAACATCAAGGAGCGGGCTGCCAAGCCCCACGACGAACGTGCCCAGTACGAGTCGAGACTGTGGTTCCTCCTCTATACCGCCCCCTGCTTGCCAATTGGCCTGATCGGGTTCGCCTGGACCATCCAGGGCCCTCCCGTCCACTGGATCGCATCCATGATCTTCGCTGCCCTCATCGGCATCGCCAACTACGCCATCTACATGGCCACCATCGACTACATGATCTGCGCCTACGGCCCGTACTCAGCCTCTGCCACTGGTGGCAACGGCTGGGCTCGTGACTTCCTCGCCGGCATATTGACCGTCCCCGCCCTCCCCTTCATGCAGAACATTGGAGCCGAGAGCGGCCGGAACCTGGAGTACGCATGCACGATCCTGTTCTGCATCTCATTCGTCCTCGTCATCGCCGTCTATGTCATCTACTGGAAGGGCCCCGCGCTGCGAAAGCGATCCCCATTCGCCCAGAAGCTGGCTGCTGAGGCGTCGCGCCACGAAGGCCACGGCCACAGCATGGGCCGACGAGTCAGCGCGTCGCACGATCCCGAAGGCCGCCGAAGTAAGTGCCCCTCCCCCGTCACCCCCTTTTGGAAACCTGAGGAATATCCGCTGACATTGACACCTGCATTAGGCTCGCTTGATCGACCAGGCGCTGGGAGGCGATTCAGCCAGCAGCAACGGTTTTTTGGCGAAAGCCGTGTCACTCCACGCGGAACCCCACGGGGCACTCCCTCTGTTAGCCGGCGGGCTAGTTTAGCTAATATCCACCAGGTGAAGGAAGGCTGAAGATGCTTGTTTTGTTTTTGTGTTTTAATGTTCTGCCGAAAAAGTTCGGCTCGGGTGTCTGTGCCAGGAGAAGTGTGTTTGATATCTGTCTCGCGACGGGGTTAATTTTTGTACTATTTCTGCTGTGATACCTCATAAATGCCTATCTGGACTATATAAGAGAACAGCGACTTGAATGAAGCATTGAATTCAAATTTGAGCACTGACCCGAGGCTTTAACCTGGTCCATGCATGGCTAATTTTAGGAGGCATGCTAACCGAAGAGCAGACCGGATACAGGGACTTCCTTCATGCGTTGGTCCACGTGATACGGAATCCTGCTCTCCGAGAATCCCAGAATTTCCCTCTTGTCTCCTTCTTTTCAATTTTTTTTATCGGATGAGAATACGGATCCTATCGGGTGTAAGAGACAAAACGAGTTTAGGGCCACCTCTGTCAAAAGAAACTTCACTCTCCACCGGCACTCTCCGGCCCCTTCACCGTTTGTAATCGATTTTCTGGGTCTCGGAGACCGACTGAGTGGTACGATTCTTGATGAGTCGGTGACCAATCCTCAATCTGAGATTTTCAACCAACTCTTCGGGTTCCATTCAAATTCCCCAGGTTGGAAGGATTCAATTATCAGAGGAGTCCCTGTCCTTGTCTCTGCAGGTTGGACAATTGCCTATTTTCTCATCCAATCGACTAACTATTACCAAACTGTAAGTCATCATGATCAGCGAAAAGGATAGGTTCTACGCCACCAGTGGTGATATCACGCCAGATGGACCGAGCGTGTGGCATATCTTAGATTGGGACCAGCGGCGCAACATATCCGTCAAAATGTCCCAAGAGCTCGATGACGAGGAGCCCGCCATTGAACAGCTCAAGAAGCACATTGATGAAATCGATCCCGATATTTTCCTCATCCACGTCTCCCCCAGTGGCAGGCTGTTATCCAGCTCCAAAGACCCCAAGTATGACCAGGCGATGTCTGTCTACTATCCTCCCATCAAGGAAGTGACACCTGTCGAGGGCCGTGACCCAATTCGACGCTCGGAACTCATTGAAATTGACCGGATTGGTCCAGGCATTGACTTGGTGTCTCATGCATCCTCAGGAGCCAAGGTATGTGCATCTTCGTTATGGGCGAGAAAGACTATCGGGTCTGAAGACTAATCATGAGAACAGCTCGAATTTAAATATTACTGGGACCGAGCCTGGATGTTTCGAATCTGGGATGAGATGAGTCTGTGGAGACGCCTTCCGCGGCACCCGCATATAGCAGTCTTTGACAATATCGTTGTCGACGAGGCAGGTTCGAAGGTCATCGGATTCACAACGGAATCAACACACGGGGCCTCACTGGAAGACCAGAAGCGGCCAACATTCAAACTCAAATGGCTCAAGCAATTAATCAATGCCGTTGATGACCTTAATCTAAGGTACGGCATCCAGCATCAGAACATCTCCACTCAGACCATCATCGTCGACCCTGAGAAGGACTCCATCAAGCTGACGAACTTCAACGCGGCCGTTCATGTTGGATCTGAGGATCTCCTTGGTGCCCGAGATGACATCCTCGGCGTATCCTCTACAGTGTATGAATTCATCACCCGCAGAGGAAATTACGATCAGCGAGGTTTCAAAAACCTCCAGGCCAGGGATTGGATCCAACATCCCGAAGTCGCCTTGGATGCTCCCGCCCCCCAATTCCGTGCGTTGATCAAGGAGTGGCAAGATCGCCGTGCCTCGGGACCCCAAATTTTATCTTATAAGGCAGCGCCTGAACGTATCGAGTGGCCGGTCATGACCGAGCCTGAGCCAATCTCTCGTTCATACATCATGCAGGATGGATCGACCCGCTCAAAGTCCATCGTCACTTACTGCGAGCGGCGAATAGATGCCCTTGCGAATGGAAGAGAGGTCCTGAACTGGGAAAGACCCCCGCAATCTAAATTGGCTAAAGGAGAGAGGGTCCTTGCGACGGGGAAGAAGGTTGAGCAGCGAGAGTCGAGAGCCACGAACGGCACGCACAAGGAAGAGAAGAAGGAAGCACCGGCAATGTGTCCTATGGGAATGATGAAAATGCAGTCCGGTGGGTATTCGATGGATGACATGGATGAGCTACTCAAACTCTGCCCCTTCTCTGGCCGCAAGGCTTGATCCTGTGTACAAATGGTTTCTATCTCCTCTCTTAAAGAAATGAATAATTTAGAATTTCGAAGCGAGTTTTTTAGCGAGTTTTGAAGTACCTTATCTAAGAATGCTTTCACATTCCATGAATAAGATCACGTGGCTAGTTACCCTTAAATACTTTATCGTTGGAAAGGTAGCGCCCCGGATACCTTCCATGGGGTCATTGACTTTGAAAACGTACTAGATATTGTATCATGCATCGAAGAGATTGGCTTTGATTAAACTGTAAAAATTCACCCACTCGAGAGTTACATTCTAATTCAGCTTGTTGAGTACTCAGTATTATTCGTGTTGAGATGTCAGGTCTGCCATCTTCCATTTCTGTGTTGTACTTTGTACTCGAACTCTCACACGCATGTATTCGGTACAGCCCTGTCCAATATGGTTTTCCTCCATTATAACACATGGTTCGAGATATAACTACAAGAACAATGGTATGTACTGAAGGCCGAAGAAATTTTTCAAGGTTCATCCAATCAAGGTGAAATTCACTACCGCCAGCTCAAGATAAGGCTCTGAGACGATCTAAACAAATATTCCCTGGTCTGTCTCAAGCCATCGCTTGCCAGATACGGCAAGGCCGGCTTCTAGCCTATGTACTAGCATGGCGGTCAACTCGGATCATCCAAGCCATCGATGACGGTGATGACAGACCATAGAAACGCCCTTTATCGAAATAAGCTACATTAATACGTACTCTAGACATATTCGGCCGAATGTGCGGCAAAAGTGCAAGGTAGTCTCACAGCCGAAGCTAAATATATAAGCCAATATTGTCACACAGCGGAGCTTAGCTGAGATGGTGGCTGCTCACGCTCAAGCGCAAGTGGCCAAGCATTGATGGGCATGACATATCGGCTGCGGGACAGGTAATAGTGCTTCCGCATGATATTCGCTGTCTCCGAACTTCTTGTTTTGCCTATATCAATGCTGTGTTATTCCATGGGAAACCAGTGGCATACGCCGTCATGGCCGCACAACGCAGAGCGGAGTCCGCGGAATGATGTCTTCTGGCTAGGTAGGATACGTAGATGCTCTGTTGCCTTGCTGTCCAACTGCCCTATTGTCCCAGAAATCAGACTCCTTGCGTACAGAAGAATGGGTGTACTCGGCCCACAACCAATAGCACCTGTTTCGGTTGTGCCGAATCACAAATGCCCCTTTATCTGTCCGGCCCCAAGCGTGCTTTTAATCCCCCGGTCACACACATTTCAAGACAAACATGTCGCTATTTGGCCGGCTCCCCCCTACTGGTGCGAGACCAGCAAAGCAGCGCGCGGTGTGATTACGCGTTGGTAAGACAATCAACACAGCTATTACTATTCGGGGATCGTGGCTGGTCCCTCCAATGTTTGCTTCGCCCACCGTATTTTCAGCCGTATGATGTATCTCATCCACGTGGCGCTCAGCTGGGCTCGGCACATGTGTTCGTGAAGGCTGTACACCGGTCCAACCAGCCACTCTCATGCAATCAGCATGCAACCTAGCCCAATCAACACCAGAGACGCGCCTAAGCATAGCTGCAGGTTGACAAATCGATAAGATGGGTGGCAGAATAAACAGAGTGTCATCCCGACATAAATGAGGTTGGAAAAACTGCGGGGGGGAAGCCGCGCGCACCGCTCAACCCCTTCTTCTGCCGTCCCTCTCCACGGCACATCCTTCGTGCTCTTCCCCTCCCCATCCATTTCCAAGTCTTCGACGACACTCCTCAATACCCGATGGCTCCTGTGATTCTTTCGCTAAACGACATACAAGGCCCACTCAATGTGGAAATCGACCTGCAAGCCAACCGCATCATCATCGGCTTCCCCAACCCAGAGCAGGCCAAGAACTACCACAAAATCGTCCAAAGTCGCGACCGGAATGGCTTAGTCTCTTGCCAGCTGGATGGACACAAGACATCGCTGCGTCTGCCGGGGAGAATAGCCAGCATCTCTGCCAGCACGCGATGCGGCGGTCTGTGCTTCAACTTTGCAGACCTTGAGCTGGCCAAATGGTGGGTGGGCGAGCTGCTGATCTTCAAGTTTGTCGAAGGGAGCAAGAGAAAGGTCTATGTTGACCGGCGCATCGGCTGCCCCCCGGCCCAACATACACCAGGGGGGCAGCATACACCGGGGGGACAGCATACACCCATGGCCGTACAGATGATGGGGCATACCCGCGGCCTGAGCATTGGGACCATTGGCACAAATCGAATCTCAACTTGATGTGGCGAGGACACTTCCCGACATTGGATGGGTTAGGCTCCGGACGGGGGTCAATTAAATAATGTGTTGGAATGCAAGGGTAAACGGGAGCACATGAATTCAGGATACCGATCATTTGGAAATACGTCTAATTTTTCTCTCTATGATGAACCATTGTCTCTCGGATTGGTGGCAGGCCATGTTGATACTGTTACACTAAGTTTTATTTTGCCCATCTATCTTCACTCGTCGATCACCCATTGCCTGCTACGATAGCAAGGCTAATTAATCTTTTTGGCTCTTGATGTCATTGGTCCTTCAACATGTTCGCAAGGTTAAGTGCGAACGTTTCGCAATTATACCTTCGGTGATGATATACCTTTCCGGCTATCTCAGCTCTAGCTGTATAATCTATTAATAACTTAGATTAAAGAGGAGCAAAAGATGTGCTACTTACCAAGAGCCTCGATTTCTTCAATTGTCCAGCCGTTGTTCTTCACCACCCCAATGTAAATTCGTCTCTCCATTGTTCTTCTCGTCGCTTTGTCCTGGACTCTCTCGTACGGAATACATCCGACTAGCAGCTGGGCGCCATCCCCATTATTTCTCTGCTGCCAGGTATGATCCTTGAAAAATAGACCATAGGCGTGGAAGCCTTGCTTATAGTTTCCTATGACAATGTCTTTGTGTTTGCCACCCATGGTACGGATGAGATCGTTGAGGCCGTCATATCGTACCCCTCGTCGATTATTGAATCTTTCAGGCCGCCGATCAAGCCGCATCCATATGTGTAGCTTATCGCATTCATCTGGAGGCACTCTCAGGCTCCACCGTACGATTCTGGGCTTGTTATACTGAGAAGACATTTCAACGATAGTTGACGCTCAACGGATTGATATTTTTGTGGTTCAACAGAGAGTGACTTGCCCGGCGGTTGGCGATGATAAAGCAGTCTGTGAAGAGAAAGCAGGTGAATATGAACGTATCGTAAAACTACGACAGTGCGACTTGAGGACTATATATTTAGCGGTAGAACAGTACAAAGATCTCTTGAAAGAATTTCTCTTGAAGCAAGTCTTTGTTCCAGCTGCGACAATTACGGAACAAAGGGGTTGAGTGGTTATCGTTCTACACAATGCCAATGGTTTGGATTAGTTATTAGGATTATACTTCTCTACATTATCTGCTTGATATACTCTTGGTATGGAGCTATGTGTGATTTAATTATTAGCACTGGTCGTGATTGTATAGCGTGAGGATTGATCCGCGTATATTTCCATGAGGATTCACGAGTACCTCGCTGCGCCATCATGGTCATCTCCTCTTCAAGTGTAACACAGGGTAAGAAAAAGAATAACATTCCCTTGTTTCTAGATGACACATATTACCTCTCATTCTGGATCTTTAAGCTCAGCTGGAGGATGCAAGACCCGCGCGAACGTGAGGCTTGCAACGTCGACGTCGCCCCGCTAAGACGAGGTCTTGCTTAGGTCACATATGCGCAGATGGTGAGCCGTAATGGTATGTAGATCAGTAGGTGGAATCTCCATCATGGTTGTCGGCGAATTCCGATGGAGATTAATGTCTTCTTCGTCACCAGAAATGTATGTAAAGGAGCCGCCGACTGTTGTGACATCTATTACAGAAATTGTTCTGTCAACGAAAATCGAGTCCGAGCACATTCTGGACCGGAACAACTAATGTGAAGACTAATGGTGTTTTCAACACAGACATCGAGTTACCCGCCCCAATCTCTGATAGCGAGCTCTAAAATATCAACAGACTCAAGGGGAGGAAGTGCAAGCTACGTTTCATTTAAAACATTAGCGAGATGGAAATGGTCTTTCTTTTTTTGTTTCTAAATTGCTATCATCACTCTCGATAACACCACTTCCTTCCAACTAGATTTATCACTTCTAAGTCACCCGGGATCATCTACGCCGGGAGCGGATGTGACGGCTGTCTGCTAGCTAACGTACACATGTGATTGTATATTGGCGGGGTTGTAGGATTTTATGCGTGAGATCGGTGACCTCTCTCATGGTAGCGGCGTTGTCATCGTAAGCGAAATTATTCAAATCCGATCAAAGCGAATCGTGTGTGTGTGGGTTGTGTTACATTGCCCCAAGGTATAAATTGCAAGGGTATCCTGGACGATGCCGAACCGCGAGGTAAGACTACTACGCGCTGTGATATCATGTGAAGTGGAAGCATGAATCCTAAGCCCCTCCACTGTTGGTCGTTGGGCGGTGTATTGCTGCTCTTCATCTCCCACCTCCTAGAAATCTTCACACAAGTGCGCACGAGTGCAGAGCCCATTTCTACCACCAAATAGGGCCTATAGCGACCGCTGGTAGGATGTCAATTGCCCAGCTCTAACGCGGCCGTTGATGCAGAGTCTGAACCATGGTGGGAATCTACCCCTTTCGAACCGCAGATAGGATCTTGAATAAAATTGGGTTCGCTTCCGGCGATCAGAGTCCGGTATTTCAAACGAACCGAAGGAACTGGTTGGCCAGTATCACCAGGGGTGAGCATGACCCCTTTGCTATGCGTTCTTGTTGTCGCAATGCATCACCCGCCACGCCTGAGCTAATTCGTGTATAGATTCAATTCTTGCCGAGTACACGGAATTTTTATTTCATGGCAAACCCGGGATAGGAGGTGTATTCGACTCAAAACGCAAGGCTCTAAAGGAAACTTTTGCTGCCCACGCCAATTCAGACAACTGTACTTAGATACCCTACCAGCTATTTGACTGCCCTCTTTGCTAACAATTTCTGCATAGGCTGGGACAGTCAATCAGTCGACTCTTATCTCAGGACACGGGTTCCCCAGAATGCAAATCAAGAAACTGTCTTGAGAAATTGCGCATCTTCTTTCTGGACTTTGATGGCCTACTTCGCCCAATGGCCTTTTAACTCGCCCTCAACACCCAAGCCAACGAGCCTTACGCTCCCATCCTTTTTCCGCGCTATGGCCTTCCTCAACGGCTTGCATAGTGAAATGTTTTGGCCTATTGGATTCTCAGATGAGGATGCTGAACGGAATGATTTGCTACCACTCGAGTATATCTTCCGAGCCTTATCTACTGATCCCCTAGTGGAACGGAGTTCCAGCTCAGAGTCTGAAGAACTTCTGATAACATCCCGCCAGCCCCGGGATATATTAGCTGTCCTATATTCGGTTCAGCCAGTCACGGATTACTTTACTACTCAGATGACGCTTGATGAGCTGACGCCAACAGCTATATCGCTGTCTCCTTCCCCCGCTCCAGAGCTGCCAACTCTCGCTGTTTCTAACGGGATACTCATTTCGCTCCTTGACCTGTTGATCTCACTTTTTGAGCATTGGAGTCAAGTTTATTCGTCAACATCGTGGTTAAACTTCAAAGGCGAGCTAGAGGCAGCTCGTACTGACATGCAGAACGTAAACGAGGTATCATTTGACATCTTTATAGATAAGTTGGGTGGTCTTCATCGTTGGAACTTCTATCATGCAATTTCTTATGTTTTTCTCGTTTCTCGCTAAGTAGAAGATCTTGAGAGAAATTTATAGTCGGTTATTAAATTGTTACTCGTATCAATTGTGTTGAGTTGTCGGGCTCTGGCAGCTTCCATTGCTGTTAAACTTTATTCTCTTTCTCTTAGGTAGGTATTAAATTGTTACATTAATTCAGGATGACACAAGAAACAGGAAATGACCATTGGAATCATTATATCAACACAGAAGGGTATTTGAGAGTTCCTTCGAGCCACCCCCCCACACACACTTTGCGTCCACCTCTTTCAGTTATGGCTATAAAGACGAGACTGTGTTAAATGGAGAATGATACATAAAATCCTGTACACTAGGGTTTTCCATTCATCGCTGAGGGCAGGGGAAGTAGCAATTCTCACCCCTTTGTCGTTTAACTTTTGAAGCTGCGATCTCTACCCCGGAGGCCTTAACAATCACAAGGTGCCTGTTCTCCCAAAAGAGGGACCCTGTAGCCTCAGACCGATGATAGGGCCCTCCACTCTTGATGGTTGACAACATTCAGCGCTGCTTACGCTGGTTGCCTCCCTACTCCAATCCCTCGACAGCCCCTATATCCGAACCACCCTGAACCCCGCAGCATCCGCCTCATACAATGTGACCCGGTTGCATCTGTGCTCTTAGCGCGCCATCGCAATACCGTGCATTCGAGCGAACGAATCCGTGAGGCGGCCGATGCTAATTGTATGGTGCGTGTCACTGTGGCTGTAAGCTCCCTTCTAACTGAATTTGGACCACTATTTCCTATTGGGATGTTGAGAAACAGAGGTGCATTAACCGCGAGTTAAGATGCCCGAAGGAAGCTAAGGTAGGATTTATTGGGTGACATCCGGGTCCTGTACTAACCGGCTGGAAAAATAGTAAGTCCCGACTGCTCATATAAGTGCACAGAAAATCACCCAGATTCTTCTCAAAAACATCACCCATCGAACAAGAAAAAGCCAATCAATATGACAGTCATCACCATCGCACCCGCTGGCCCGAAGACGGCTACCGCCACGATCCGGGCTCTTTTTGAGCAGGCCGCTGCCTCCGGCACATCCATCCAGGTCAGAGCGTACTATCGCGACACGGCCAAGGCGCCTCAAGAATTCTCGACAAATCCCAGCTTCAAGGCTCTGAAAGGTGACCTTGAGGATCCATCGTCGCTTGACTTCTCGGGCTCCGATGTAGTTTGGACCACCACGCCACCTACTCCCGATGGGCGCGACACAGTCGCGCAGGCCGAGTTGGTGTCGTTAAATGTTAGGAATGCTGTAGAAGCGGCTGGAAGCGTCAAGAAGCTTGTGCTTCTGAGCAGTATCGGTGGTCACCTTGCCGAAGGCGTCGTATGTCACCCCATCTTGAAGAGATCTTGAGTAGCATTCAATTGACCATGTTTCACAGGGAGAGATCAAGTCAAACAATATGGCAGAGAGGGTTCTAACGAAAACAAAAGTCCCGCAAGTTACCATCGCAAGGTCTCAATATTTCATGGAAAATTGGGCAATGGTGGTTGCAACACTCAAAGGCCCTCAGCCCTTCATCTTTTCAACTTTAACCCCCTTGGACTTTGCGATCCCCATGGTGGCAGTCAAGGATATCGGCAAGATCTTGGCGAGGGAGGTCATGACTGACACTGGAGCTTCGGCAAGCGACAAAGGTAGAACAAGTCCATACATCTTTGAGATACATGGGCTAGCTAAGTATTCCTCGCTCGATGTCCAACGGGCATTCTCGAAGGCGATTGGGCAAGACGTCGCAATCAAACCGATTGAGAAAGACCAGCTGAGCACCTTTTTTGGCCAATTCATGTCACCTGCTGCCGTGCCTGACATAGCGGAAATGACCCTGAGCATTTTGCCCGGAGGAAAGATGGTCGAGGAGCCTGATCCCATATCTCGTGATGTTGTTCGTGGCGATACGAGCATAGATGAGGGAATCAAGGACATCATAGGCCATGCTCGAGCCTCGACTTAGTTGATCACTAGCGATGAGGGTGGGACTTTGTATTTTTTTTTCCTCTTAAGATTAGGATTGTGTAATTATAATATATAGTGGTACTGTAATCGATCGCATGATTTTTCCCTGTTGAGTTCGAATACAGATATCGCCCGCGAGGTCAAGGGGAAGCTCCCGGAGGAGTACAACTCGGTCAATTTGACCCCATTGCCTTCTCATGTCGCAAATGGACTAGGCACCCTGGAAAACTAGTGAAACAAAATGCCACCAAAAGATAGGTAACTCTTGGCCGTCAATCTCCACTGTAAGCGAACAGAAGGTGAGAGTGAAGAATGCGGAGAAGTGGTTTTATTCTGCGCCGAGCGACCAATTACAGTGACCCCCCCTTGCCACGCCCTATTCGTGACTTGCGTGTGGATGACGACACCTAAACTTTATAACCCTCGTCTGTCCTCTTGAATCCCGTCCTTTGATACTACCCCTACATCATCTTACACACAAGCATAACGCTGCAGATCATCATGAGTTCTCAATCCAGTGTACCAGTCTTTCACTATCTCGCCCTCGGGCGGCTTGGCCGGGGTGAAGTTCTCAAGTAAGACATTACCTCTACCACCTATCAAAGCTGTTTGTTGGAACTTGAGGCGTGTGTTGACAGTCAATTCCCTTGCAGTCTATTTCTAAAGGATGCTGGCGTCGAGTTCAAGGAGATTCGGTACCCTTTTGACGAGACATGGCCGGCCCAAAGCAAGAAGTTGCAAAAGGAAGGCATTACCAAAACAGGGTTGTTGCCCGCACTTGAGTACAAGGGGTCAATTTATACCCAGGTATGGACTTCGTATATTCCAAGCTCAAGCAAATTCGTGTCTAACTCGTTACCAGCACATCCCGACCCTGCGCTTCCTTGCGCGGGAATTCGGCAGTTACGATGGTGAAACAAGCCAAGAAAAATATCTTGTAGATGCTGTGGCAGATGTCTACATTGACTGGCGCGTATGAAACATTCAACTTGCTCTGGTTGATAATTGCTGCTGACCGGCCCACAGGCACAGTGGGTTGCTGCCTTGAAGGGAGTGACGAGCGAGTACAAGAATGAGTTTCTCCCGAAATACTATAACCAGATTGGTCAATATTATTCTCAAAATAAGGGTCCTTATCTTCTCGGAGACAAAATCACATACGTCGACTTTGCGGTCTACCAGTCGATTGACAATGATCTGAGGATTGGATCAATCCCCTTACCTGTAAGCTGACTGACAGAGATACCTTGGTTCTTGCTGACCCGTTCCTAGTCTAAACTGCCAGATGAGCTTGTTCAGCTTATTGAGACGATCAATAACCGACCAAATATTGCTCAGTACCTTGAGAAAAACAAGTTTACTCCTGCGTAATCTTGCCTTTTGGTTCGTGGGCATGTGATTGAAACGGGGTACGCCTCTTTGAATGTGAGAGTCGCGTCATTCAAGCATCTTCGGGCTTCTAGGATCGCCAAATTTCAAGGATAGTTGGATGAGAAGCCTATGATAGCGATTATATATCACGAACCGATCTTACCTTTTCGAGTTCCATCGTATGAGTCTATTGTGCGGCTGATGTATATAACAACGGGAATGAACTTCATACTCCTAAGGCCTCATCGGTTCAGTGGCGGGTTTCTTCTGCCCATGACTCTGCTCCTGGATTTATTGGGATTCCAGACTCAGTACCATTGGCGCTCCGAGTTTTTCCATAACCTCTTCATGCTATTGGCAATTAAGTGCCCCATATCGGGCCACCTGTCATAGGCATCAGTGATCCAAAAAGTGCTATGAATACATGAAATCAGCCGGATGAATTTCAAAACCATGGCTTCATTGCAAGTCATGAGAGAGGATGGGGGCAAAAGGTGGCACGGACCAGCCGTTTCGCAGCGATTGATTATCTGAGGATGTTTGACATCGTCCTACCCCTTAATGCTCAGTGAACAGGTTCTTTAACACTCCGATATCAGACAAAGAGTGGTAGGTCCAAGAATAATATTTCAGTTGATAGGCGTAATTTATTGGAAACGATATCGTGGGGACGATGCCTTTGTTTTAGCATTACAAGATGAGCAACATGCATTGCTCTGGGTTCCATCAATCCTTGCAATTGACGTCAAAAAGTAATAGACACGAATAGAACTCATCGAAATCAAATTCTTCGCCATGATTCCCATCATATTGATTATTTGAGCTCCCTTTCCGACCTTCAGCCTCAAAAGAACCCGTACTCGGTTTGAGGCCATTCCATAGAGAAAAAGACAAATGGTGAAAAATTAATGGGATTCTGATTTTGTCGATGGACTAGAAGTTGAACATGTGTCCTTCCTCAATCTAATGACTTGTATTGTATCATAGGTTCAACTGGATATCACCGGCCTTTCTAAAATCGAAATTTGGGTTATGCAACAGGAGAGCATCTCTTACTTAGCCTCACTGTCGCACACAGCGTTCAGCAGCTTGGAGCTAAGCAAGGTTTAAGGCGGCATTGTAAGCCTTCTTACTTTGCGCCATTTGGTGCCCGATTAAGCTTGAGAGTTTCTGTAAGTCATCTGAGGCGAGAGTATCTCTATAGCCACAAACTATCCACCCCGTCGACCGAATACAGGTTGCCTTATTTAGAGTCCACCAGCCCTCACCATTTCGCCCACAACACTCGACAGTATGATTGAACCTCCCAAGCAACCAAATATATGTAGACCAGCCGGTCAAAGACGCCCCGAGATACTCATAACTTACTCAATTCATCCTCCCCAACATGATGAGCATGACGACACCTCCTCCACCCAGCAATGACTCTGGGGAAGTCAACCCACCTCCATACAACTGCTTTGAAGTATCTGATGGTGAAGCTACCGCTGCTGAGCGCGCTTGGGACTCCCGGGCGCCTCGATCCTGGCGCGACCACAAGTACCACAACTTGGTCTTTTGTTGCACACCAAAGGTCTACCACGAAGGCGACAGCCTTTTGCGACGCATGTTTAGAAGAGGGAAGGCTCATCCTCATTGGCGAGCTGAGCTTCTTGTCGTTGCGAGGAATATTCCCAACTTGATGCGTCATGGCTTCCACATTTCACGCGCGGACTTGATACCTGGAGTAGAAAGAGTTCGCATGTATTATGAGAGGTCAAGGACAAACACATATAGCCTCGACCCGTCTTGGGAGCATGGAAAGACCTTCTTCTTCAAGCATGCCGGCCCCTCCCCCGAGTGGACAGCTAGGCTTGAGGTGTTTACTCAGACCCACGATCTTGCCCGGAGCTTTGAACTCGACTGGGTCACGGCGGACACAGTCATTCAGGCCTTCGCATATCACTGGGATTGGACGTTAGTGTACAACGCCAGCCGAGTGAGGGCCAACACGAGCTTTAATATCATCTTCGACCGACTGCCTATGGGTGGATGGTGGCCAGTGCCAAAAGAAATGCAGACGACGCAGAATGTGGTGCGGTTTTGGAATTGGACGAACACATGGAAGAGGAAGAAAAAGGGCGGGCAATGGCCAGCTTGTCACATCATCACCAGAGGTGAGAAAAGTTACACGTGGTAGCTGCATTGTTTTTCGGCATCCTACTATTTGCTGCAATATGGTTGGCTAAAATTGTATGCTGGGATGTTTGGGTGCAGGATTTTCTCTCTGATATTCCTGATATGACGCTACCAATTCCTCCCAGGTTTACCTGATATAATCAAGGTACTCATTAACAATCATGGTTTCTTTTTCGAGCAGCGTTACACGTGATGACATTCTCCCCCAACACAAAACCCAAGCATTTCATTTCCCCCCCTATCCCCAAAGTCAAGTTTGTTAATCCCATTTTTCAGTTCAATTGTAGTTGAAACAACCCCATCGAAGTTTTCCGCTAGTTCAAGAGCCGACGTCTAGCAACAATGACTCCCGCATGTGTGACTTGCAAGAAGACAGCGCCCGAAGTTACCATTAAGCGCTGTGCCCAGTGCTCCTCAACACCCTACTGCTCTCGGGAGTGCCAAAAGGCCGATTGGAAGAACCACCGCAAAGTTTGTGGGAAAGAGTCAGCGGGCTGTTCTTCCTCCTCTTCCCCCTCCGAACTAGGGAGTCAAGCATCTCCGCTGAAAGGGTTGGAGAAATCTGTTACGAAGCCCTTCACGAGAATTGGCAACGGCACTTGGCTTCACGATCGCCCCGAGACTGATGTTTATCGCCTACTCATCGATGCCTATCGCCTACGAGTCGAGGACGAATACAAAATGGAAGGGAAGATAGACAATGATAGTCTCTACGCCGGATCTGGAAGTGGCCTGAAGGGCTTCCGCCGGTTTCTCGACTGCGTGGCTTCACATGCCGGTCTGCTCCCCTCATGGTGGCATGCCGAGAAAAGGGCCTGCTGCGAGAGACTTGGAATGGACCCTTCACAGTGGCAGAATCTATGCTGCGCAGTTGAAAAGAGCGACATTATTGAACACTATGGGATGCCGTATTTTCACATGGAGCTCAGAATGTTTGCAGAGAAGGTGCTTGGGAGTGGCATAGGCGGCCAAGATGGGACCATGGTGTTACAGATGATGGCCTCCAGGGAAGTTGATGATCGTGGCAACGGACAAAACCCAGGCAAATTCGCGGCAATGGTGGACCTCAAGACAATGAAGACATCTATTCTGTAAAACTCGAGAAAGCATGTTATATTGAGTAGTAATCTCTGTGTCTGCTATGACAGGCAATTGTCACAATCCCGCCTTCTGTCTGTTAGTTCGAGATGACACTATGCTTTCCTTCGCACCTGCACCTACGGAACTGTAGAACGGATTCTGACCCTGACCCTGAAGTTGGAAGGCTTCACGAACCAGTAGGCCACAGTTTTCCAATCGGCCTCGAGGCCATCAGCCAATTCGAAATCAAAGTCTCGGATTATGCGTGGCACAAGCTTGCACATCTCCAACATGGAGATGTGCCTCCCAAGACAAGTCCTCGAGCCAGCGCCAAACTAGAAATAGTTATTAGCCATGGGACACAACCAAAATAAGGCCAAGAAATTCATACGGGAATCCAATTTCGGTTCATTGCAGACAGTTTATCGGCATCCTTTGTGAGCCATCTGTCGGGCTTGAACTCATCAGCATCCTGGCCCCAGACAGCTTTATTCCGGTGTGCCGCCCAGCAATTGACGCCGACAATGGTCTGTGGGGTTCATGTCAGAAACGAAGAGAAAAAAGGGATCCCATGTTACCTACTCCCTGAGCGAAGTATTTCCCAGCGATAGTAGCACCTCCTTCTGGTACGACTCGTTCGAGCGGTTGCCCAACAGCAGGGTGAAGTCGTAAGGCTTCCTTGAGGACGGCCTGTAGGTATGGCATGTCTTGGCTCTGTTTGTAGGTGGGGGACTCAGAGAGCTTCCCATCGTTGCGAAACGTAATTATCTCCTCTCGTAGCTTGTCCATACACCCCGGGTTCTTGAGAAGATAGTAGAGCACTGCTGACAAACTGATCCCCGTAGTGTCGGAACCGGCAGCTATGTTCATGGCACAGCCATTGAGGATGTGGTTCGTGGTGAATCTCTCCGGGTTGGTTGCATTCTGTTTCATAAACTTGGAAACAAACTCCTCGCTTCCGTCTTGGGTCTCTTCGTAGATAGCGGCAGGCTTGGCCTTGTACGCATTAATCTTCTCCTGGGCAACTTTTATAACGTACCCTAACCCTTTCCCCTTTCCGCCTACACCGAGCCGATCCAGGAAGCTAACGACGGCAAATAAATGAGGATGAACCTCGCCGTAGATGCCGACTGTGGACGCGTAGTAGAAAGAATCTTCGAGGGCCTTCATCACTCCGCCAATGTCGTCCCCACTTTCCAAGGTTCCAAGGCGCTCAGCAAAGGTGATCTGAGAGATGACATCAAGAGCATAGCATTGTAACCAATGTCCTATATCAATGGTAACACCGGCTACCGACACTTCATGTAGGCGCTGGTCAAACAGTCTCGCGCACTGGTCGACGTATGGCTCAAAGTTCACCAGGTTCGACATGGTGTAAGTGGCTTGAAACTCCCTGCGAAGAGAGGCATGAAATTTGATATTTCGCTCCGTAAATACATTCCACACACCTGGGACCATGAAGGCGTCGTAAAATGATGATTTGGCAAACTGGGTACTGTGACCATATATAGTTTTGATCGCTTCGGGGCTGTTGAAGCTGTATCTGCTGGGCCCATATCGAACAACAGGGCCTGCCGACATTTAGTCATTGCCATGTTTCACAAATGACCTTCTAATAAGTTGTACTTGCCGTAAGTTTCATGAAGCTCGCAATTCTTTCTTTCCACGTGGCCGGTGTGGACTTGGAACAAGTACCAGACATTTGTAAATCGCGCCAAAAAGGGCCCAGGGACATTTCGCAAAGGGGCGAACAAAATCCTCAAAATCAAATACGCAGTATAAGCCACACCCACCAGACCAAAAAGGAGAATGATCTGCATGTTTTGTAGTATTCTTATGCTTTATTGACTGTTCATACGTCGAAATCTAATGGCGAGACAAATCTCAATCCGAGGAACATGAATTTATAGAGATTCGGTCGTCTTGAATCGTTACAACTTTTTGCATAGTACTAAGATATTGCACCTCTCGCAAAGGCGATGATCATCCCGAGCTCGCTCTTCGCTTCTTCATCAGAAGTCCGGACAGGATGCATAACGATGGAGACAAGCCTGAGTGACATGCAGGACGGGGAGGTTGAGCAAATAGGCATCATCCGAATTATGTGGAGTTTCGTTTTTCCAATCATTGATTGGCTATTATTCAGTTTCATAAAAAGGGAGTGATCCCTATTAACACTCCAATATCTCCACATGCAGTTCAGGATGAATATGTATTTGATATCCCCCACAGATCGCCGGAATGAATGAGATTTCCGGGTCCCGAGATCCCGAGACTAGTACGAAATGAAGATTGAATCCCGCTTACTAACAAGAATTTAAGGACCGATGAAACCTCATTTCTCATGCGAAGTTCCAAATGTGGATGCGGTGTATGTGAGTTTGGCTGAGGGGATGCAAAATGATTTCTCGTCAAGTTGCTCAAAGAGGGCTAGGAACTAACATATCAGGATGGGATTTATCAAAATGACTTGGGCACATGTATAAATTGTGGAAGAAAGTAAATGCTCTATTTCAAAATATGAGTATACTATAGCGGCTTTTTGTATTAGACTGGCCACGAGTAGTTTGTAAACAGCCTAATAAGTCCCTAAAGGAAAAACTCTGCGACCTCGAGAAGTGTTCCCGTAGCTCGTGCTGCTGTTATTATTTCCAAGTCATATAATGTGTGACCGTTTTATAGCTTTGCTACATCGCCGTTATTACTAGTGTGGTGATGGCAGCAACGATCCTGGATTGGACTGGCGATCCTCGGACCGCTACAGAAATCGGGCCCGAAGCGATGGATCGGAATTATACGCTAACTAGAGTGTATCTGACTTACTATGCCTTGGGTTCCGTGGAAGCTTCTTCAGCTCCCCGGATAGGTGTAACTTGTAAGGTAATCAGAATTGCAAGTTCGGGAACAGGGGCCGGCGCATCCTCGAAATAGTGGATCCTATCTCGTAATTCTGGAAGCCACTAACGGATAGTGCGAGCGCTATAACGTAAACCTGCTTGGTAGGTTTTTGGGACCGAGTAAATGGGTGGTGTACCGAAAAGCATGGCGAGATGAGGAAAGGTTTTTGTTTGAATTTCGAGAGGAAATTTCAGTAAGGGAGTTCGGACTCTAATATTCCATTGTATATTCTTATGCCTAGACACAAAATGTGATGAAGGTGTCCAACTCGCATAACTAACAAGGAGCAAGATGCTGTTCAAACGTACTAAACAGATGGAAGAAGAAAGAAAAAGAAGCAAAATAAAGTTTCGCGCAGGCTGCATTCTACACAGGAGATAGCACGTGGGTTAGCATACATTACTGCCCGGGTTAAACTACTTTTGTCCACGTTGACGTTACTTGCACAGCGTCGTGGTGTGAACCTCTACTTAACGTAGAACCGGCTTCCGCCCAATCACATATAAGTACGAAGTAAGCAGCCACCATTCGGGTGAGCCAATGATGTCGTTGGTGGCTTTAACTAGCCCGCTGAGATGACTGGTTGGATTCGATTCGCGCGTCGGCCAAGGCATGTGGCTGCTGATCTAGAACCGTTGGAACGGTTGCGTAGTGTGATGGAGGCTTCCTGGTGTGATGAGGTTTCCCCGCAAACCGTCTGCCACTCAGCCATGATGACGACCATTTATCCCAGGAACTCGGATCCTCGGGGAACGAAGGAATTTGTCCAGAACATAAGCACAGACCTAACCTGCGACCGGGCATCGAATGTCTAGAAGCTGCCAAACACCACCACTACACCCTGATCAAACCATAGATACCTACGCATACGAACCTATCCCTGGTCGACGACAAACGCGGAGAGGAACAGACAAATGTGAGCACCGGTGACGTATGCGCACATTTCAGTCACACGACCACGCAAAGAAATGGCCGACGATGGCTACAGCGGCGGAATCGTTGTTACGATTGCCAACGCAATGGTAATAGCTGGTTTCTTTGCAATATCACTCTACAACGTCCTCGAGATCAACGTCCAAATTTTCTTCACGTTCCTGAAATGGAAGGGCCTCTACTTTTGGAGTTTGCTTATCGCCTCGTGGGGGATTGTCCTTCATTCCGTTGGATTCTTGCTCCAGTTCTTCCAGCTCTGCAAAAATGACTACGTCAATATCACCATCATCACCCTTGGGGGCGTCCCGATGGTAATAGGTCAATCTGTCGTCCTCTATTCCCGGCTTCACTTGATTGTTTACGACAGGAGGAAGATCCGATGGGTTCTCATCATGATTATTTCAAGTTTCTTCCTATTTACCGTCCCCCCTACGATTCTCAACTACGGCTCCAACTCTTCAAACCCTGCTCCCTACATTGGGCCCTTCAAGGTCTACGAGAAGGTCATGCTCTTTGGGTTCGCGGCGCAGGAAATTACCATCTCTGGAATCTACTTATGGGAAACCCGGAAGATGCTGCGAGTAATGGAGCCTGGGATGAGCGAGGCCCCTCGCCGTGTGATGAGGCACCTCATCTATGTCAACATCTTGGTCATCTTGATGGATCTGAGCATCATCGGCACTGAGTTGGGTGGCCTGCATGACATCCAAACCACATACAAAAGCGCCGTATATAGCGTCAAGCTGAAGCTGGAATTCCCGGTGTTGAACCAACTCCGCAATCTGGTCAAGAGGGAAGGGCGTGGCTACAACTGGTCGTCGTCCCATATATCAAGTGTAAGGAGCCCTGGTCAAGGATACGACTTATCGACAAGGCGGCATTCTTCAGCCATGCAGCCTGTTTTCTTCCAACAAGAAATAAGCCCCTCAATCGCTCCCCGGCCATCTCCCCTCAAACCAAGGGCAATCCCAGATGTGGAATCCTGCACTCCGCCCGAGGACTATTTTTCGCCTGCGAATCCACCAAAATTATAGCTCTTGTGATAATTGACATCGGATTCCCGGATGAAGATCACGACTCCTCATATCAGGTCCCAAATAGTTGAGCTAGAGCCTAGTGCCAGCAGGGTTCGAGGAAGAGGTTACTGATATCCGACATTTGACCTCTCATGTCAGGCCGATACACAGTCTTCACATCACGCCGTTATGACTCTGTCGCGCCTATATATCGGCTAGGTTTGGATTGTGCCAGGCTCACTTGGGTCGAGCTTCGAAGGTCATTGAAGCAGTAATTAGTGTCGATTTGTGCTCGCCCAGCCTATCTTCAACTACCCTCACCTCATCTAGACAGACAGCAACACAAAAGGTAAGGATCCCTTCTCGTTTGGAGCAGTACACTGTACTAACTCTACTTAGTTACTATGTGTATAGTGAAATTTCACTATCTATCACAAGTATTCGCTGTCTTCCCACTCTGGAAAAGCGGGTATACCAGCCTTTCAATTCTCGCTCTCGGCCTGGAAGGCTTGGTTCGGCCCGAGAAAGGAGTGAGGTCTGAGTCTCGCAATAGTGGCAGAAAATACCGGATCATGCTCAAGTGGGCGTACTGATGGACATAGCTTGGACCCGAGTACATAATGTGATTTAAGTCGCAGAGAAAAAAGCATGCAGCGAGATATTTTGTTTTCCAGCCCATGTAGACACTATATACCCACCATCTCAATCAAATTGCACTGTCGAAAGAGCTGTCAATTGTTTCTAGAGGTAATGAAGTGGAGCATGTATGCTTGTGAGCAATTTGCATGATCAAGACCACAACCCTTACCGAGCATCGATTTTGTGCATCCAACTCTGCATCCATAGTTCATAATAGAGCTCTCCAGATTAAAAATATAGCGATAGCTGGTTACTCAAGACACGGGACAGCGAGATTCAGCGAAGCGTCTCCACGCGGCTTGTCTCGGTCACCGAAATGATTCTGATTGGCTCCCACCCATGTCCGAAGGCTGTTAGTTTCGCTTGGTAATCCGCAAAATGGGCTGTCTTTAGCCATGGCTCGTTGATTTTTATTAAGCTGGATGGATTAGAAGACGGATAAATGTGAAATGGGACACGATGAGTATAAAGATCCTACATGAACCGCCCAGTAGAGGTTCTCGACATTATCAAATAGGATTCGCATCAACCCAGCCACAACACCATCAGTCGAACCGCGCACAAACATGTCTCGAGCTCTACTTGTCCTAGGCGCCACTGGAAAACAGGGCGGAAGCCTGGTACAGGCCCTTTTAGCCAAAAGAGCCGACTTCAAAATCTTGGCCGTTACGAGGGACACCGAGTCCGCCGGAGCCAAGGGATTGGCCGCCAAGTCCCCCAACATCTCTCTTGTTCAAGGCAATCTCGACGATACCGAGGCGATTTTTCAAAATGCCAACAAAATTTCCAAATCTCCCATCTGGGGAGTATTCAGCGTTCAGGTAGGCGGCTATAAATACTTGGTACCTCGCAGCGATGGTCTAGTCTAACATGCGATATTGCAGCTGCCCGCGATGAACAAAAATGGTGCCAAGATCGAGGAGGTGCAGGGAAAGTCCCTGGTCGACTCTGCTTTGAAGCACGGCGTTGAGCACTTCGTGTACTCGTCTGTCGACCGCAGTGGCGACCGCTCAATTAACAATCCTACCGACGTCCCCCATTTCATCAGCAAACACAACATTGAGCACCATCTCATCAACAACACCAAAGACACACCGATGTCCTGGACGATTCTGAGACCTGTGGCGTTTATGGAAAACTTCCAAGTGGGCTTTGTGGGAAAGATCTTCGCAACGGCGTGGAGGGATAATGTCAAGAGTCGCCCTCTCCAACTCATTGCTACTGAGGACATTGGTGAATTCGCCGCACAGTCGTTTCTCAGCCCCAATGAGTTCAATGGTAAATCCATCGCCTTAGCCGGTGACGAGTTGACCTGGAGTCAGCTTGTGGAAGTCTTTACCAAGAAGACCGGAGAAGCGCCACCGACAACATTTGGATTTATCGCTAGGCTGTTGTTGTGGCTGTCCAAGGAGATGGGCACCATGTTTGCATTCTTCGAGCGGGAAGGATACGGAGCGAATATCAAGGAGCTCAAGAAGCAACATCCCGGATTGAAAGACCTGGGCACTTGGCTTGAAAATAGCCCCTATACCAAGGCTAAGAAGCTGTGAGACTGCGTCTAGGCACGTGGGGTCTTATCATATCACACAATCATTGTTCCTAATGTAATAATAGTCGATAGTCAGTAGAAGCAACAAGTAATGAACCAAGTTATAGACGCTACTTTCCATTGGCGCCCATTTCGGGGCGACTTTGCCAGGGATCTCCACCCCGATCTCGCATCAACTCAACCGCGTCAATCGTGGCCTAAATGGCACCATCCAGCCAATTATGGAACTGCGCCGCTGATAAGACTCAGTGGCCCCTCACGCAGCCCGGCCGATAAGCCCTTCCATTACAAATCCCGCCCGAGGTTCCCCTGGAAGAACATAACCACTCTCAAACCACAGACAACAAGAACAAGCCTCAGTTGCTACGGTTTGATGCCAATTGGAATATCTGCAAGCCATGACTCTCATTAAGCTCCCCTCCGGAACGTCCGGAACGGACCTGAAAGGCCACAAGCTCGTCCTATACGCCCCTCGACCAACTCCGCCTGAGGCTGTAGCGCATCTCAAGGCCAAATTCCCAGGCCTCGAGATTGCCGTCTATAACAAGCAGTTCTTCGACACCGACCCTTACCAGGACATTTCCCGGGAAGAATGGAAGCATGTGACGATTTTGGTCACGGGCTCCATGATCCCTGATCCGGAAGCAGTGCCCAAACTGCAGTACGTGCAGCTCTTCAGCGCGGGAGCGAATCACGTCGTGAACAAGCCTCTGTTCAAAGAGACAGATGTCGCTCTTTGCACGGCCAACGGAGTCCATGGGTAAGTTCTTGGCCCTTATTATTACTTCATTCTCGATCACATATCTTGGGACTAGCAGAGGACCGCTTTCGCTAACAACCTTGCCTACTAGCCCTCAGATTGCCGAATGGGTCATCTCAACCTTTTTGGCACACCAGCATCAAAGTGAGTCCTCCCCAAGGGGAGACAGGGGTGAATCTGAATACTGACTCAATCGCCGGTAGTTCCGCGCTACCTTGAACAGCAGCGCGAGGAGAAATGGAGCAGGGCTGACGAGGAGGAGACTGAAGATGCTGTGGGACGAACAGTGTAAGTCTCGTCGCTTAAATCGCCCCATAAGCAAGGTTCTGTTCTAACATTTGCAAACAGCGGAATCCTTGGGTATGGAAGCATCGGCCGCCAGGTCGCTCGCGTCGCCAAGGCCCTCGGCATGAACATCCACGCCTTCACAAACCACCCGCGCGACACTCCAGAGTCGCGCCGGGATGAGTCCTACACACCAGAAGGCCTGGGCGACCCGGAGGGAATCTTCCCCAGCAAATGGTTCTCCGGCGACCTTCACACGTTCCTCTCATCTGGCCTAGACCTGCTCGTCATTTCTGTGCCGCTGACACCCAAGACTCATCATCTGTTGGGACGGGCTGAGTTTCAGGCTCTCGCGGGGCGCCGTACATTTGTGTCCAACATTGCGCGTGGGCCAATCATCAAGACAGACGACTTGATTGAGGCTTTGGACGCGGGCACGATCCGCGGCGCGGCGCTGGATGTGACTGACCCGGAGCCGCTTCCGACAGGGCACCCTCTGTGGAAGGCCAAGAATGTCATCATCACTCCCCATGCGAGCGGCGCGTCCACTGCGTATTATGATCGAGTGCTGAAGATTCTTGAGCTGAACCTTGGCCGGCTGTCGAGGGGAGAAGAGCTCACAAATAAGGTAGATAGAAAAGAGGGCTACTGATAGAAAAATGGTCGAGGAGGGTTATTTCAATGTGGCATGCTTATACTGACTACTTTTTCTCCGTTTGTGAATATAAGTGCTTTGAAGAACAGAGCCCCCCCCCCCCCCCCCCCCCCCCCCCTCTGGATGGACCCTGAAGAGAGTGAGCCAACGAGTAGTAGTCTTGGTACCGAAAGACTGTTCCTGTGGATGCCGATGATGGTGGCCACGGATATCACACCTCCGGGCCGCGGACCTGGCCACGGAGTCCGGTGCGACCAACCCTGAGTGCCAAGCTCCAATGAGCGGTGTCATTGAAATTTGATTCTTTTCTGTTTGAGTTGGCAGCTAAATTTAGTTGCTGCTGCCTGTCCCAAGGCGTACTGCAGAGAGTCGTTGGCCATTGCGGGAAGAGGACATCCAGCCTTATTTACAAAGACTCGTCGACGATGACGAATCTGGAGAGCAGATGGGCGGTAGACCCCTGAATTTCGTTTCAAGTTCCTACGGCATCGGCGAGCACAACCTCCGTCCACCGATTCGTTAGCGGGGCTGGCTCTGATCCTTTCCCTCAAGCAGCATCACGCTCCAGCGGTCTGACCCTGCTTGCTGACGTTCATTGGCACCTTCAGTGGGGGCATCGGCATCTCATCTCAATTCAGGGCTGTGCACGCTTACCGATGGCAGTGTCACCCTGGTTGGGCTGAGCGATCGTCAATTCAGCCCTCTGCAGGTTCCAAAGACTCACGGAAGGTAGACATGGATCTCTTCTCTTGATATCATATAAAGGATGAGAAGTCTCCAGCGATGGTTACAAGATGTATCACTACAACAAGCTCATAGCTATTGACAGTCCCTATTCAATCGACTGAGAACTCCCTCAGCAAGATATAAATCTCTACAAAAAAACACTATTCCGTCTCTTTATCGAACATTCTCATACGATGGGGAACGTTGCGTCGAAGGATGGTAATGATGGGAGTTGTCCCCATCATGATCTCACTGAAGGTACGGCTTGACCCAACTCAAGCTGCATTTCCCTTTTCTTTCGCTGACCATGAGCAGATTCTCGAGCTGAGTTTGTAGGGGGTTTCTCTTTCCACGAGTTTAGTATGATTTTATCAGGAGCGTGTTGTGGGATCACGCTCCTTGTCATGGTTTTCTTCACACAGATGCATGCAACACATCTTTCCAACCCAACAGAACAGATCAAGTACGCTTCACTCTTGTACGCCATACGTTATCTATGCTAACATATGGGAATAGGATCATGAAAATAGGATCTCTGATCAGTACGTACGCCTTGGTATCTTTCTTCTCAGTGGCCTTCCCGGCTGCTTCAGTGTACATGCATCCTTGGCTGGATGTCATTGAGGGAACGGCTCTGGGGTCCTTCTTCCTTCTTCTTTGCGACTACATTTCTCCGAGCCAGGAACAGCGCGAGGCATTCTTCGCGACAAAGCCAAAGTGCGGCATCAGATGGTTCAAGGTGAGATAGCTTGCCTCCAAAATTCTTCACTCTGTGGGATCTTCAGCTAACTCCATGAACAGCTTCGATGGCTTCAGATTTTCCAGTTCCCCATTATCGCGCTGGTTCTGGCAATCATCACCAACGCCACCGCAGCTACAGGAGCTTTTTGCGAATGGCGAAGAACGCCTGGATCCCTCAATTTCTGGATCCGCTTGATCGGCTCAATATCCCTGGTGATGGCGATGGTGTCTATTCTTCAGGTTTATGGCGCCACCAAGGTTGATCTCGCCCATCACCGCCCTCTTGCAAAACTATTTGCCTTTAAGGCGGTTGTTGGCTTGACTTTTCTCCAGACAGTGCGTCGTCCTACTACTCACAGCTCATGAGGCACAATTCTAACACCGATGTTCTAGCTCATCTTCTACATCCTCACCAGTACGAACACACTGAAGGAAACCGACACGCTGACCTTTGCCGATGTGAATATTGGCATTCCTAATCTCATTGTATCTATTGAGATGATCCCGCTCTCCATCTTTTTTCTCACAGCCTATCCATGGAGCGTCTATCTAATCCACAATTCAGATGGAAAGTCCTCCCCGGATCCCCAGAATTCTATCCAGTACAGCAAGCCCTACCAGGGCGGCCCTCTTGGAATTTATGCATGGATGTACATGCTCAGTCCTATTGACGAGCTGAAGGCAGCTGTATTTGCTGTACTGCAGTTCTTTACCAACCGGGTACCCCAGCGAGGAAGCGACTCCCATGAGATGGAGCATGTCCCTCTTGCCTACCAGGGACAACGCATGGGTCCTTGATCATCCATACTTGTGATTGACACATTTTAATCTTGGTGCCCCTAAACTGACGAACCCATTTGTTGGCGTGAAAATCAGGGTGGTTGGGTTGGAAATAACGCGGGCCGTTGGCTATTGAGGGGCGTAGGATCCAAATGGGTCCCAGGCTCCAGCATACGATATTTGATTGAATCCTATTTCTTGTTGATCAATGCTGTCTCCGGATTCCAAAGGACTTCATCATTCTTATTCAAACTTTTGATATCGCGCTTGCAGACTGTGCTCCGTGAAGTGAACCCTCATGATGGGACTCTATGCTATCGCGATTGCTACTTTCTCACTCGCCCTTGTCCCTCGCTTTGCTATCGCTAGTGAAAGTGGCACCGGTGGGTGTAAACCGCATACATGGGAAAATCCTTCACAACCTACTCTCGTTGGATCCCGGCCCCCGAGTCCTCCTAGAGCAACGCCCAGCGTTCCGAGGAGGAAAACGCTTGAGGCAGGAGATGTTAATTGTCGATATGAAGGTAGGACATATGATAAGGTAGATACGTCAACTTGCCAAGTCCTGGCAGACCAGTATGGTATAGATCTTGGCAAATTCTATGAATTAAATCCTATACTTGAGGCGGACTGTAGCAGGATCAAGCCCAATACTGACTATTGTGTGGCCGGGTGTATGTACCCATTTCCCTAGCTAAAGTCCCCAGCTGCTAATTCGATCAATAGTTATTGAGCCACTCAGAGCCTATGACGGGTTTTGCGGTCCCCTCTTCAACAATGCTACCTGTCTTTATACAGGTAAAGAATGCTGTAGCAGGGAGACATGGACTTGCGGCAATAGCGGGTAAGTTAAAAAGAAAATTCACAACGTACGGCTGGCTAATGATGATTTCTCTCAAGACGTCACTGTACGCCTAGCCTCTGTTACAAGGACGCCGGAGCTTGTGAAATACGTGTTGTCGAGTCAACTGATGGAATATGTGGACGAGTCCAAGGCAGGCATACATTCCGTACATGCGGAAAATGGGGAGATTGCTGCAATCTTGAAGGGAAGTGCGGTAATGGGCCAGACTTTTGCGGCAGAGGCATATGTCAGGGAGGGCAATGTAGTGACCCTGATTATCCTATGGATCACCTTCCGCCATCGCTGCCATGGGAGTTTGGAGAGGGTTTACCGTGAAGCTGAATCTCGTATATTCATTCATTTAGGACAAGCCTCCAATTCAAAACACGATCCAATTGGGAATATTAACATATCACCTCCTCGCCAGTCATGATAAACAGGGTATGATCAAAGGTAAAAAAATCCACCGATCCCATGTACAGCGACACCTCCATCTCCTAGTGATATATTTGACTCTATCAAACCTACAGCGCCAAGGTCTTGCCTAAGTTCGTGTCTAGATAGCGACTTGTCTGCTATAACTTGGTTGGTCTACAGGCTGCAGGGCTGGCTTTATTTCAGAACTTAGATAGCGGTAAACCTGAAATACATTTTGACATACAACTAACACTTAGAGGTTGGGGTTTATCTGAATTTTATCTGTCCACTTTGGTTTTAATTTTTGAAGAAGTCACTGGGAACCGAATGACTGCACCAACTATTTTGAGGGAAAGCGTTCTAAGCTATGGCTGAAATATGAACATTGTGAGGCTACAAGAATAGAGATCGTTTGGAAGAGAATCCACTTGATTGATTGGACCTTTGTCGACCATCTTTGACAATGGGTGGGACAAGTAGACTATCTGAGCCGAGACTTTTTTGCGAGGCTGAAATGTACCTAATCCACGGGCCGAAGAGAAGAGCCAATGCGAGCGTGGCTGGTCAACGAGTCATGGAAAGGTATATCATGATTGATCATTGCTGGGGCGCTGCTGAGCCACAACGGTCCGAACAAGCTCTTCGGCTTTGGGTGTGGCGTTTTTCCAAGCCTTTGAGGCAGAAGAAACACTAACGAGTTCACCTTGCTAATGTAGTCTCGGTGCTAACAGCTATTGGCCCTCTGTCTTTGTGTATGGAAAAGCCATCGCAGCCTTTTTTTTCTTAGCATCGCGAGTTCCGTTCATGGGCCACCTTGTCAGCAAGCGGAACAAATGAAGACGGAAGAAACCGCGATATTGCCTAGGAGAATCACCATGGGCTATAAATGGTTTCATCAAGCGAATGTAACCGCCCAACATTGTCCGAGTTCGAATACGGTGGCAGTATGAAAGGACAAAGAGCGGAAAGTCGTAATATGCGGGATGCTAAATATGGATACACAGGTGCCTCGCGTTGTACCTCGTCAATGCAACTAAGTCAGCCCGGGGAATTGAATTTAGTACGGTCAAGCCATCACGGTGGGTTCCTCTCGACCGTTCAACCTCAACGTTCGCCACCGTACCTGTTCTTCCGAGTTGCTGTCAAGTGGGTGTCTACCCACTGGAAACCTAATAACCTCGCCTGACAGCAATACCGCCGCGCTAGCGGTGGAGAAAAAAATTCTATCCACTTCCCGTAGCTGAAGTCGGTGCCCGGGCTGAATTCCACTCAGCTGGTCTGAAAATGGAAGCGATATTTGTCATCTATTGGCCCCGAAGAAACAAACATTGGTTGATCACATACTCCCTTATTACTCCGGCATGCATGTAAGCCCTCGTGTTACGAAATAAAGAACAATTGTACGTACGACAAACATTATGCAAGGGATGTCGTTTCTTGCGGTGAACTGGCCTGTCCTGCCGTTCATTTCCCTATCAAGCCTGACCGACTTGGGCGCTAGATGCGAACAAAAAGAACAAGCCAAGACATTCGAAGTTCTTTTGGGATGCAGATGCAGACAGCTGAGACCGACGTACAGTAGTGTAAGTGGGTATGATGAGAACACGAGGAGTGAGCGGAATCTGAAACAGGCAGGGAGAAAACCATTCGGGCTGAACCCTCCCGACAAGGATCAAGCGGGACTGATCATGCTAACCCGTACCGTCGTTTCTGCTCTGCTTTGGGCGACGAGAGAAAAAAAAGAAAATCTGGCGCCATGGCGTAAAGTTGACGCCAAAATGGCTTCAGTTGAGCCCGGTCGATTTTTGATGGGCCACTTCTGATTGAGCCTTGTAGTCAAGGCAGCTTTGCGAGCCTGCGTAATTGGAGGGTAAGACGTGGACAGTCTTACAAAATGATTTCAGCTGCCTGGAGCACCTCCGTCTCCCTACCTACTTGGCTTGTAGCCAAACAAAGGTGGGTGAGACAAGGACCAGGGGTGGGATCTTCCACCACCTTGCTGAACATCGCCAAGAGTTCTATTTCCTTGTCATGGCTGAAGATCGGGATCGGGTAATATTATGGTGTAAATTCGCTTTGTTTTCTGGGCGTTCTTTGTCCGGAGGGGCCGAGCAGAGCGCCACTCCTGAACTAGCGTCGACGCTCTTCTTTCTTCCTGGTCGAGATTCTCGGTATTCCTGCGGCTCTTGGCTGGTGCTAGCAGACGATCCGGGATGATGCTAGCCTTCTCGAGCTTGAGGCAATGCATCGCTGTTGCCGGCCGGTACTTGAGGCTTGGCCCAGACCAGCCAGCTGAATTCTCATGTTGACGAGAAAGGAATACGACGTGGCAGTGTACCTAATCGAAAAGCTTTGATGCTACCTGAAACCCTCTTATTACTGAAACCTACTTCTGGCAGCCATCGCCTCCCCTCCCCTCCACATTGACCTCCTACCTCAGCTCTTCCTGAGAATCTCACTTGGTGTTGTGGCAAATATAGGTTATTGCTTCGAGAACGGCGCCCAAGTTTTCCTCACAAACAAGACTACAAGCGCCTACGACAGATTATATGATAATGTCCTTCTCCGGCATGGATGCGATGCGGCCGTCCACTACTAGAGACAGGATTGTCCTGTTAGGCGCCCGCGGCGTGGGCAAGAACTCCCTTCGGCACCAGGTTATTTCATTCCCATGCCTTTAACAAATACAGACCTAGGTAGCGGTACACTAACATCATTCATTAGTACGCGAATGGCGTGTTCGGTCATATCAAGAAAGAATTTCGACGTGTACCGTCCCGCAAGGTTGTGACGGCGGGAGGCCGAACGGTTACGGTGGAGGTGGAATCGATCCGTTATTTAAACGAAAATGGCCGACATGCGATCCTCGACAACCTGAAGGACACCGACACATTTTTGATTGTATACAGCGTCACCTCCAGAGCTTCGTTTGAGGCTGCCGTGGAATGTTATGGCTGGATCCACTGGCTCTACTGGAGCAGTCGCCCCGGTAGCTCGGGTCAGTCCCAGGTGCCAGTCATCCTTGTTGGGAACAAGAATGACCTGGAGGGCTGGCGAGAGGTGTCAATAGGTGACGGAAGGAAAATGGCACGCGAGCTTGGAATCAGGTTCCTTGAGCTAACGGCAAGGGACCAGTCTGGCGTCAAAAAGCTATTCCATCAGGCCATCCAAACATCCCGGCAACGAAAAGACGCTTTCTCCGAGCACCAAACAACAGATGTCCCGCCAGTTACAGCTGCCTCATCAGTAACACCTCCGACAAGCCATAAGAAGGCATCACTTCGAAGTTCGCGATCGCGCCTTAGCAGGCTCACGAATTGGCGCAGATCCATGAGCTCTTCTAGACTGGAGTACGTCCCCGGGTGGGATCATAAGACCGACTATGGTAAGAATGAGTTGCAGGAGGGTCTGGTGGCAGCAACCAAGGCGAATGATCCTCAAATGTTCAGATCATATGCTCAGGCAGGCGCGCAGTTGGATGGCCGTGCTATGGGCGAGAAAGGAAGCGTGGTGCATATTGCCGCCGCCGCTGGTCATCTTCAAGTCCTGGACGTCATCATCGAACGGGAAGCGGGAATCAACCTCCCCGACCTTGATGGAATCCCTCCGTTGCAGCTGGCTGCCGTGAATGGGCACTATCAATGCGTGAATTTGCTTTTACAAAATGGCGGCGACATCGATCAGACGAGTTCGCGGTATGGAACAGCTCTGAGCGCTGCGGCATCACGAGGCCACGTCGATATTGTGCGTCTCTTGCTGTATATGGGAGCAGAAGTTGAGGTTGAAGCATCTCCATTCGGTAACATGATGCAGCGATTGTCCCGTACTTTCGATGCCAGCATCGTTCAATTCTTGCACGAGCCGGATGATGATACCACTACAAGCTCAAGCCTTGACGAGAGGCCGTCTCAAGAAGCATTATCCCAAGATGTCTCCGGTGTCACGACTCCTAACGGGTCATTGGATATGCAACTTACCAAGATTGAAGAGGTCGAGGATATGCTAGAGGGGGATTCAATCTATCATGACTTTGGCCCGGAAAGAGATGCGGCAATTCCATACTCCCAGGAATCGGAATCGTTCGAAATTGATTTCACAAAACACGATTGGGTCGTTAGCAAAGTATCTGATTGTACCAATGACTTGCACACGGCAAGCAGCGCGCCCATTCTTATCCGTTGAAGGATGGGACTGCCCTTGCTGTTAGACAATGTTTGATAGTATGGAGAATCATGGCTGGATTTACGACGCGTTTCTGCATCTGACGAAAAAATGATTTTGCCAAAAACAGCATGCAGGTATCATATTTGGGTTGATTTCGAAATTTGTTTTACCATGTTTCAATTGTTTGCTGGGTTCATAAGCAAGAGGCGTCCGGGGTGGATTTCAACATGGAGCCGGTTTCTCCGTGGCATTTTATCAGTGATGGATAGAATAACTATCATAATAACGTATATCATATCCTTTGATTAAACATAAACACAAGATCCCCGACCTTTATCTTTGAAATATGCAATCCGGAAATAATCTTGTAGCGTAAAGAGTGCTGCGGTCCTGTTGAGGCTCGCCCTTTCATGTCTCACGCCCGAGTTCCATTTGGCTGATACTGCCATTCACCACCACTTAGTGTCACTTATTAATGAAGAGCTGACCTAAGTCGATTTGTATGAAATTTTGGCAATATACCCGCATCATACAAAGTTCATTTTCGACATGCTGGAGGTGGATCGGCTTTAAGCAGTGTCTCACTTGGCAAGGAGTCACGAAGGAGCAAAACTAAATCGATAAGATGAAACGCCACATTCGTTGACTACATTCCAGAAGTTGGCCGTGCAAACCTGAACTTGACAGGGTGTCCTTCAGACAGATAGTTATGGCATGTGTCTGCCCACATGCTTTCAACACCATGCATCTGAAAACATCGCATACAGAACAAGCCTGCAAAATGAAAGCTACTGGCAGCATCGTTCAATTCGCCATACTCATGGCTGGACTGGCCCAGGGGGCTTCGATTTCGGGCGCCTCTGACACCGAATCAAGCATGAATATGCCAGGCTGTCCCTCAAACGTTCCTGTGTGCGTTGAAGATGTTGGTCCCCCGCATAACCTGTTACTGATATATGGCCTCGAGTTCTAACAAATAATCCCACAGTGCAAAAAGGTCTTGTTCCCTTCGGCATATCAAGTCCTCAAATTATCTCTGACCTGTTTGTAGTACATGAAAAAGTCTTGTCTAGATGGATCATACATTATGTCCAACGGCGGGAACTGTAAAGGACTAGGAGGATCGTGAGTAGTTGGCGTTGCTCAGGACCAATTATTTGTCGAGACTAATCGTTTTGAAGGTGTAAATGTGTTTATCCATCGAAATGTCCGAAGATTTGATATCATTGGTTTAGACTGGAAGTCACAAACATGCACACGATGTTCGTTGTTGAATTGTGACTTCTGGCGGCGGAAGTTGATACTCATTGCACCCACTGAGGAGATGCAATTGCGGTTTTTAAGTTATACTTACTGACGGAGATGGGACGAGAATAAGAGCTTTCAGCCAGATGTCATAGAAATGGAACATTAGGCGAATTTGATACAACAGCTCAATTTCTGAAATGGTAGTTACTTCTCATCCCGATGGATTCTATCAGTCGGTAGTTCTACTGGCCGTTGGCCGCCATCCAACTCTGGTATCCTTTGACTTTGTTCACCGGGGAGCTCGTGAGCCCCAGCCTGGCCACCGGCCGCGTGGGAGGGCTTGGTTTCTAATTCGGGTATTGCTTTTCTAGGCTTGCTGTCCAGCTCTGAAACGGCCGGAGCTGGCCTGTTGTCGCCTTCGGAGACTTGGTGAACGGTGGTTGAATTCCGTCTCCGTCCAAACCACCATATTAAGCCGCCTGCTATGGCAATACCAAGTACACCACCTACAACCGGCCCCGCAATCCAGGCAAGATTCTGAGAAGGTGGTGTCGGGTTGGGCGGGGGGTTTGTACCAGTGGCTATCGCTGTGCTTGGCCTCGTCGGGGGTTCTGCTTGGGTCGTGGTAGAGGGACCGACCGTCGTCGATAGGTAGAGTTGCATATTGAGGACGGCTGTATTGCATCCATAGAGGCTATAGGGGGCGCTGTCGTCGAGGTTTCGGTAAAGCAGGTATGTTGCGCATACACTAAGTGAACCAGAACTATAGTCATACCTAGTGAGTACATAATGGTTTCAACCACTCCAAATTCAATGAGCAGAAAATAACATACCACATGCTCACAGAACTTTGAAGCAGCAGACTGCTCCCGCTTCTGCAGCCTGTGCCAATATCCGGGTTTGTGGCAGACGGTGAGACACAGTCCCCGTAAGGGGTTGACAAGGTCAAAGTGTACCCAGAATCGCATGACAAAGCCACCCCTTCCATTGACTATCGTCAGAGTAAAATTCTTCCCGGCGTAAGGCATAAGGTAAGCGCTCACAAGTTCCATTCTCTGATGTATACCCCCAGAAGTCAGAGCCGAGGCTCGACCCCGGATTGTCTCTCGGAACATGTAGGAGGGAAGGTGGTGCTGTTATCGCAGGATCAATGGGATTACCGCACACTGCAAATGCGAAAAATGCCAGCACATAGCAAATTTGGGTCTGAAACCACATGGTTTTCGTCATTTTGAAAATACATTCGTGGGGAGCGAGATGGAATCCGTGAAGTGGTGAAGGTAAAGGGCTGGGTTGCAGATCGGTGCCACCCTTTATTATAAACTCTGACGCTCCAATCTGAGCTAGCTCCCTCTCTCCTTACCTAGAGCTTCATCGTGTTATGGACAGATCTGAACTAAAAATAATGAGGGGCGTGAATTTATCTAGAAGAGGGATAGTGATGGATTAGTCTTGGTGTTTGGGAATGGAATACAACTGGTCGCACATATTCGCCGGCACCGAGAAGCCGAGCCACCAGGTCAAAAAAGTTTAATCTCAAACTCTACCAATTCGCTGGGAAGCCTAGATGAACCCTCAGAGGCGTCTATTTGCGAGGCGCCGTTTGAGTTCACACAAGTACTCTTGACGACTACATCACCGATTACAACTACAATTGTTGAAATTTAAATGGACCATTATATGTTAAATAGACATCCTCATGAAACAGAGAGGGAATTTGTTGGTTACAAAGGTGTCAATATCGACTCTATGCTTCGAGTCCCCGGCTGATCAGGTCCTGATAACAAGCGAAGCTGGGAGTGGCTTACATAGCTGTTGGCTAGAAAGAAGAAAATATTTCGAGCAAGCCGAAAGGCCTTGCATAAAGAAGGCCTTATTTATTTCATGGCAGCCTCTCCCTTATATTGCAGATTTTCCTCGCCACTACTCAAAACAAATTCTGCGAGTTATTCTCATTCTCATTCTCAGGTAGCACTAACTATGGCTCTCAACCCTCTCTCGCTGCCTTGAGCTCATCAATTTCGCTTTGGCCAAGGAGCCCAAGTGCCTCCCGGCGAGTAGGTGCCGATGGGTCAAAGTATGGCTTCTCAGCCAAGGAGGTAACTCTAGTTCCGTGCCGTGGCTCAGACCCGCTATAGTCCCAGCTAGCATTGTGAATTGTGATACTGCGAAGAATGAATATTAGCGATTTTTGCCATACAGAAGATTGAAAGGGAGGGTAAGCTCATACCGATTGTCCCACAGGACAGAGGTTCGTGGTGTCCATCGCCAGCGTACTTGGATGTCGACATTCTGCTCATAAACATCGTACAGGTAATTCAAAATGACATCACTCTCTGGCTTGTCAAGTCCTACAATTCTGTCGGTCATGGCTCGATTGACCCACAGTGCCTTCCATCCTGTGGCTGGGTGGACTCGGACAAGGGGATGGATTCTCTCAATGTGCTTTGGCCCTGCTTCTGGGTTCTCGCGGTCCAAGTAAGTGTGAGCAGAGCGGTATACGGCATGTTTACCGTCAATGATCTTGCGGAATTCTGGAGAGAGCTTCTCATATGCGGCGTAGCCACTGGCCCAGAGGGTGTCTCCGCCAACAGAGGGGATGGTGTCATTGTGGAGGTGAGTGATGCCTGCAGGTTGTCGTTCATGAACCAGGTCAGTGTGCCACCTTGATGCACCACCTGGATTGCGGAAGTTGGCTGCTCTCTCAGTGGCCTGAAGATCCGGCCAAATAACTGTAGCGCCGAGCACACCGGGGACCTGAGGGACTTGGGGCTATACGGATGGCTTTAGTTAGTGCGTTTGCAAATGACAAGAGAAGAGGCCGAGCTGTCTGCTACGTACGTGTACTTCCACTTCTCCATACCAATCACCAAGCTCCTTCTGCTGCTGCGGTGTGAGGTCTTGGTCTCTGAAAAAGACAACGCTCCTCTCAGCGATGAGCAAAGCTAGTTCATCCCGCTGCTGGTTGGTCAAGTCTTTAAGCTGGAGACCTTCGATCTCTGTACCAATATATGCTGTGAGATCGGTTACTTTGGAGGCGGCCTCCAGCAGACTTTTCTTCGACTTATCGGCGCGAGCACCAGCATCAACATGGTCGCGCGGGATGTCGCGAATCTTGAAAGCATCTTGCAGGTAGATGGGACGCGAAGGGCGGTAAGGATATCCCTTAGACAAGTCTACGCCTGCCTTTTCGAGCCTCTGTCGTGCAGGCTCCGGGATGTTAAGGGTGTCCTTCTTAGGGACTGCCACATCCTTGATGCTGTCGTCAATAGGTGCTGGGGCCATTGTGGGATTTAAGAAGAGTTTCTAGGTCTAGCTCATCGATGGATTCCCAAAATATGCTCGATATTTGAGAAGGGGATTGGATTATTATATAGTGGTACTCTGGGCTTCCCCCGCACGAGAAAACATCATGCCGTTGGCACATCTCTCATTGTGATGACAGCCCATAGATGACAAATCGAACGGCTAAAATAGATAGTATGCGCGCGGAAACTTTCGTGATAGACAATATTCTGGCATCATAAATAGTCTTGCGAGGTCGCTCCGCGTTATCGTACCAATCGGCGTGAAGATGATGACGATCCAAATGGGGTCAAGGGTTGCTACCGGATGTCGCCATACCCTTCAACAATGAGGTGTAGCAAATCGACAGCCGGCGATTGGTCAATATACATGCATTGGAGGTCAGCTGCTAGAAGGCGTCATCTATCCCTCCGCATTGAATTCGTGGAGAGTAGAGCATAGGGCTCCGTGGACTTGTGCCGTACTCCGGCTTCGCAAATAATCTACTCTTAATATAGAAACATTCTAGTAGATATCATTTACTCCATTTGGTTCAAAAACGGAACTTTTGACCCAAAAACTACACTCTAAAGGTACCAGCGCCACGAAACATATTGAACATATTATCGGTTGGTAAAGCTCCAGGTGCAACATTAACTAGATCTATTTAATACGTCATAAGTATTAATACCTAGGCAATTTTTATCATTATAGACTCTATGTAACTAACTAATCCAATATTAAGAGTTACAGTTGATTGACTTACAGGTAAAGATGTATATCAGATATGTGTAAAAAAAGCTAAGCCATCTTTCACTTACAAAAAAGGCCATATCATCGACTCCATAGATTCACGAGTCAGCGTAACATAGAATACCTACCTGCTCTCATTAAATTTACCTTACTAACTTACATGTAGCTCTACACTCAGTTTCAAACACTCCTTGAAGATTCTTCCTTATGTTAATATTGGAAACATGCTAACCCTGAATAAGGGTGACAAGATTTGGATCTTCGAAGTGAATCTTCCCATAATTTCAACACCGTGTAGGTATTTACCCTCCTATAAAACCTCGAGTATCAACCTGAGAGCTCTCTGCTGCGAGCGACTGTGGTCAAAATCTTGCAGTAAAAGCTAGATAGATTCTTTCTCTTTTACCAACCAGGGGTAACGCTGCGACGTCATCCAAGAGCATTCCCGTCCCCTTCGAACTTTCTCTAAAAGCTTTCCAAGTAAAGGCTATAGCGCAAGGGTAGAGGCAACCACTTGAGTTGGTGTAAATCGGTCTGGTGAACGACCCGCAATTCTCTCAGCGGCCAGGATGGTGTGTCCTCTAGTTGGGACGAATTTGATAGACCTGCTCCTCCTGGGATCTTCCCTCAAACTGTGAGATACTTTGGTTATTAAAGCCCCCTTCTTCTCGTAAATGAAACAAAGGTCTGCTTCTCTTCCAATTCTTATAGTGACCATTGACTGAGACACCACCTTCTACTGTCGAAGGTTGTATTTGGAATCTATTTCTAGGTCTTTACTCCTATTACGGCCCAAGACTGTGCCTGCTCCCTGTCCTTCTTATCCGTCCAAGCTACTTGATGCTCGTTCCAACGTTCATGCGGGTGCTTGTCGAAGGCGTGGTTGTAGTAGTTGCCTACGGGAACATATTTGTCGCAAAGAGGGCAGGAGCGATGCCCAGTTTCTTGCATGTGTTTGTTCCTGGAGACTTCGTCGGGCAAGGAGTCATCGCACATTTCGCACCGATTTGGCGCCTGGTAGCCGTTTGTGACATAAGCGTTGCGACAGAGGGTTGGCTCTGTCTCTGACATCGCGCAGGATATGTGGTCAAAGAGACGACGAAAGAAATAACGCACGGATTGCGTTCCAGACTGAAGAGCCTTGGAGAATGAGAGTATTCAGAATTGTAGTTAGGTTCGTGCGTGATATTGAGGTATCCTTATATCAGCGCTTACTGTGGCTTAGCCATCACAGCCACTTTGCATGATGCTGCGGTGCACACGGGAGTTTCTCATAAGCGCGGAATGTCAGCTCGTATTTCACTAGTTTAATTTCCCATATAAGTTTGTGACGAGCTAATAAATCTTTCATTGTTTGCGATGCAATATGCTATTTTGGACAGCCGAGCCCATATGTGAACGACGATAGATCAAACGCCGCGAGGAGGCCGTAAATGCACTGCATAATGTCAAGAAAATCCAACCTTTCCTCGACTATAGGCGGGCTGGCCACTACCATATTGGCCAACCATTATTAAAATAAACAGAGACGTGAGGTGACCTGTCTACGTTTTCTTTAGATTTATAGGTAATTATCATACAAGACTTATATTTATTCCAAGGCCCTCTTAATATCGCTGCTGGATATTAAAAAGTAGTACTGATTATTCCCCTATCCAGCCACGTCTCTCTTCTCAAGATTCAATCGATCGTGTATTCTCCCTCTAAGATATCAAGCTTAATTATCTCCTAAAGCGTTGTCTCCAAGGACACTCCGATGCTTTCAGTGCCGCACGATCGCGTCAAATAGCTTCCGAAGCATGTATTAAGGTTACTCCCCCGTTCCATCAAGGGGTCCAGGGAGGGGAACAGTCATATAGTGAGCAAACCTCCTAATTTTATTGTTAAATGTAATCCTATCATACCCTCAACGAGCGGTATTAAATTATGGCTTTAGTCAACTGATACGAAATGATTGACAAATAGAAAGGAAACAACAAATTAAAAACATGATGTCTCTCACTGAGATAGTGAATGGTTCTAGACCGCATGAGTTTCGATGATGTTATTTCCTCGAGATTTGTACTTCATAGAATTCTAATTGTGTATGATCCGTCCTCGTGAACAGCCTCCGCAAATTTATCAAGAGAAGGGACTTTTGATGCTAACACAGCTTGTTGTTTTTTGGGATCGTCGGTTTCGAAATGCCCAACTCGAAAAAACTGACCCTTTCCACCCTGTGCGCGAATCAATAAAATCCCCTGCATTTTATCCAATCCTGTGAGTGTATCCGGTGCGTTGAGAGTGGGAAGCATGAATATCTCGCTCTCTTGGGCATGTATAGCTCCTTTCCGCGTCATGAGTGTGAATCGACGATGGGGCTGACCCAAGTCATGGCTGGATCGGTCCCACGATATGGCGAGACCCCATAGTCTCGAGCGTACGTCAAATGATCCGAGTGCTTCAATTGTAGTTACTCTTAGAGGTCCCCGAATCCTGATAAAATCGTCTCCGATGTCCCCCACCACACTGGAGGCTAAACGAAGCACCGTAACTTCTACCAGAGTACAGTGATATTGTTTTGGTTCGAACGAATCTGAACTGAATGAGTCATACTCAACGGCTCCATCGACTGATGCCCATGACCAACTTGGAGCCATGTAGTCCAAAGATAGCGATTTGGAGCCGAGAGTGTCCGTGCGAAAAGCTCTTTTCCAGAGCAGATCTTCAAAAATGGAGCCTCGCCAGCAACCAGCAATATTCTCATCTTTTAACCACGGAGCCAAAGCGGAGGCAATGCCACCAATGGCAATGAGCTTGTCCGTTTGCTTCGTTAGGGCGCATTTTGTGTAATCAGCTACGTACCGTCTCCATTGATCATGTTCCCTTTTCTCCTCACTTTCGGGGCCAGGCCTTGTTATCAATTTCCCAGCAATACTACCGGGCTGAGAGACTTCTTTGGTTGTTGGTGCAGGCTTCTGGCAGATGTTCTGAATCTTATCTGATGACCAGATTGTTCGAGGCCCTATGGATGCTATCCATTGATCGTTTTGTAGGAAACCCTCTGGAAACGCTTCGTTTGAAGTCAACTGCATGCATTCCCAGTATATCTGTTGTTTTGAAAAGTGTAAAATTCTGGTCGAAAGGGTTCGTTCTTGAAATACCCAGCCACGAGTGTTGAGCGGCGCGCTACGCACATCGATTTCAAAGGCCTGCGTGAGGGCGAGATAATACCAACCGCGGTATGGTCGCTTTGGCCCGCCGTACCAGTTTCCTTGCCAATCCACGTAGACCTGAAAAGGTGCTGTCTTCAAAGAGTCCCTGTCGTTAAACAAGCCTTCCCTCCCGTCGCTGGCAGCCGTTGCTGCTATGTTAATTGTAGCATTTAAATAAACGTCTGACATAACTGCTGCCTCACGATCCCAATCATCCAGAGAATCTTGGAGAATACAGAGAGAATCAATCCATATGTACTCGAGGCCCAGGCGACTGACAAGGGAGATGGCGTCTTGGAATGTCTTGGGCAAATCGAAACTTGACATCCCTTTTTGAAGCGTACCACTGGTATCCTTGGTCAAGCAAAAGAAACGATTGGTCCCCCATCTGTGGCTTAACGAGGCATATTGTTTCGTTGCGGGAATGTCTGCACCATGGCAAAGCCGAACGCTTTTTCCGTCTTTCTCAACTTTTAGCACCCTTGTGGGCTTCCAACCTGAAGCGGCAAGAGTATTGTTGCACAGAGAATGCCCATGTTGACAGACGTGAAGCCACGTCTTTATTTGTGATACGCAGGCATCAGAGCCCGTAGATTCAGAGGAGATGCTTCGAGAAGGTAGAACATTCACTATGAAGGGGGCATTAGTAAATGATGCTTCCAATGATACCATGAGTTTGCAGAATACCGTCTATTGCAGAATACAGCTGGAATACGATGTTTTTATAGCCATCGTATTTGAACCAAATTTCTTGCTCGAATTCCCAATCGTCCCATACGAGATACGTCATCGAGATGTCTTTACTCCTATCTCTAACTCCGGGATGAGCCTGCACGCTGCGAATCAGACATTTGCAAATGAAACATCCAGCATCTGCTGCTGCGGCTAGATTGTCAAGGGTTTTATGGTGTGGCCTTTCGCATTCCTTTTCGTTTGTTTCCGTCTGTACGTGGACTGCAACCGGTCCATTGAAAATATTTCGACACAATTGGCAAAGATCTTTGTTTTTCTCGCTGGAAAAGGTAGCCATTGCAGTCCAGGTCCCGTATCCGACTCAATATTAAGATGTAGATATTGGAAAAGGGAAGCCCTCGCGATATGGTGCCAATGTTGAGGAAATATGTCCGTTGAGCGAATAACAACGTACGATGCAGTGTGAGCGGAATGCCCAGAAGGATGCCTAGAAGAGGGGTAAGACACTACATTATCTAAGCCATAATTGAAAGAGACGCGTGTTTAATATTCCGTGTGTTCAAACTGTAGAGCCAACACAAGCGAGGTGGCTTAGAAATTGCTTGCTCATTATTGGTTTACGCAGACCAACAACACCACCCTTTGCCAGGGAGTGCCGGTGCGTTTCTATTTCTGGCCGGCTCTCCTAAACTAAGTACTTCCACCGTCGATCTTCAGGGCCGTCACATCTCTCAGCTCCATGTGAAAACTCTTGAAGGCCAGCATCCAGAACAGAGGTGCTCTAATTACATGTACCTATTACGCGGCCTTGAGATTGACTGTGGTCGCTACCCTATAGCTTAATCCAAGTTTAGTAGAGGAAGGATGGTGACGATAATTGCAATAAACAAGGATCTCTCGGATGAACAAGCTACATCCTTGGCAAAAGGATTAGTACATTAACTATCTTCTTAAGAGTGGCGACAAGCGGTTTGTGTAAGCCAGCTAGTACCGCGAGAGTCAAAGTCACGGCCTCCCTGGCAAATATTAGCAGGAATTCTCGACGACAATAGCATGCGTAAAGTCAATACTTTCTCTAATGACAAATTTTACACCCCTTCCCTTAGTCAATTCATAGCGTAGACTAATGCTGCTCCCAATAGATAATGAAACTGGATTGTAGGGCATCTACCTCTAGGGTACCTTGATATGGATGATCTTCCTGAGAGTGCCTTCCGGGTGGGACTGTAGAGAAAATCTTGGAAGTAGCCAGATTTCACGACCTTTCGGCCGGTTAACGGTTGAAGATTGATGTAACTGGGCTTCTCCAATACGATGAAGACAACTCCGCCAAGATCTTCGGGGGCATCCCATACGGGCCGAGCCTTATCACCACTGTTACTGGTGCCAACACTTTAAAGAAACCCTCCGCCTTCCAAAGGAAGAGCCCGAGCGCTTCAAGGCCAACTGAAACACTTCTAAAGGCTCAAAGCACACCGTGGCCAAGAACGCCCTGACGCGTTGCTACAACAATAGTAAGCAGTCAGCCAAGGCGGCCAGAAGCGGTTCTGCGTAGAGGGTGAAGGAGTATTTCAAGTCGGCTGGCACGAGCACTCGCAAAACCGTCGCCGGGGTCTTTAATTCCATTGCGAAAGAATGTAAGAGTTCTACGACACGACAGATTTCCTTTAGCTGTGCCAACACTAAATATCGTAAAGAACATCCAGGTGTCGTTGCCTATGCCTAAGGTATGGTAAAATACCGTGTTCTATGCTGCTTAGTTCCAGCAGCCAGTCAACCGCAAGTGTCACCAAGAAGAAAAGGTTAGTGTCATCACGGGTTTAACCACGCCATTAAAGGTACCAAGGAGTACAATACTAACCTACGGCTATGCTGCTTTGCGTAATCCTCCTGTGACTAAGAGCTTCAGGCACGCCGATCCCTACAACTTCTTTCCAATGCTGTCGAATTCAATCCTTGAAGAACACAATCCTTTTCTTAAGGTAAATCTAATATAAGAAGATTCTACAGATTTTTATAATTAGACAACCGAATTTCAATGGAGCCTTTAAACAGTGTCACGAATTCAAATGTTGAAAAAAAAAACCCTTAGCCATCTACTGTTTGATCCACCTGTGCTCCCACGTATAGATACATGCTCTCATTTAACGATGATCATGCCTAGATCTAGGCTAGACTCTACCCGTAAAACTGTATGAACATCGGACTCGTCGTGATAAGACATATTGTAATAGGTGACCTGATTACAATTTACCTCGGTGTTAGTCTTCCCTTTGACCTAGCTTACATGGGTAGATCCCTGAGATTTCCTTCTTGAGTAAAGGGTTTGGAGATAATTTGTTAACTTGTGTTTCATAACAGCGGTATTAATCGTATTGCGAGCTGGTAAGCCAGCATTGCGCAATCTAAACTGCAAGGCCCGTAGAGCACGACATTTCAAATCCACACTGACACCAGTCATAGCGGAGACAACCGGGTTTAGCAAGGAGATATAAGTAGACTGAGCATATGTGATTGTTTCGCTTTGTAGATCCTTTGGTTCGCAACGGCACAGTGATATTTCCACTGCTTCTTTCCACGATGGCATCCTCCGATGAAGCGCTGGTTCCTCTGTCCCAGGGCGTTGGCTATGGCGTTGTTGTGGGAGTCGGGCTAGCCTTTGGCCTTGGCATGATTCTTGTTACACAATTTCTAAAGAGATTTTTAGGAGAAAGATCGGATCGATCTGAAATGTTCATGGTTGCGAACCGATCTGTTGGAACTGGTTTGACGGCGTCTGCAGTGGTATCTTCATGGATGTGGGCGTGAGTTACACTTTACAGATGTCTTTCTTCAACCATTAACTAACCGGCCTGATAACAGGACAGCTATTATCTGGACGGCTGCACAGGGCTACTTGTACGGAATCGCCGGTAGGTCTCAGTCTCGACTGTGTATGACTTAGCAATAACTGACATATACTCAGCTCCGTTCTGGTACGCTGCGGGATGCACCATCCAGATCGCCCTGATGACCGTTTTAGCGATACATGCCAAAGTTAAAATACCGTGAGTGGTCTCGGTGCCAATTTATTCCTTCAATACTAAAACCAAGCAGAAATGGACATACAGCACTCGAGATTGTTCGCCTACGATACGGTTTTGAGGCCCATATTGTTTACATTTTCCTCTGCCTTGTCACAAATCTTTTATCAGTTACTGCCATGATACTGGGCGCAGCAGGAGTGATCACAGCTCTGACAGGACTACACATCATCGCGTCTACCTTCCTTCTGCCGATCGGTGTCATCGTTTACACTGTTGTTGGCGGGCTTAAAGCAACGTTTCTCACCGACTACGTTCACACTCTGGTTATTATGATCCTTCTTTGTTGGATAACCATTGCTGTTATAAATAACGATGCGATCGCCGGTGTCGGAAGCTTCTACGATGCCCTCGTAGAGGCTGATAAGTCTACGAACATAACTGGGAACTATCTCGGATCAATCTTGACTTTCAAGTCCAAGGGCTCTATAATCTTTGGCCTAGTCCACTCGTTTGGTGACTTTGCTCTGGTAATCATGGACACGAGCTTCTGGCAAAAGGGCTTCGCTGCCGATACTGCGGCTGCAATGCCTGGATATATGCTAGGTGGAATTGCTTACTTTGCCGTGCCTTGGGCAGTCGGAACGACAGCTGGCTTGGCCGCAATAGTGCTTGAGAAGAGTCCGCTCTTCCCGACATACCCGCGTGCAATGACGGTCGACGAAATCAACGCCGGTTATGTCCTGCCATATACTGTCATGTCTGTGGCTGGAAAAGGTGGTGCCTTCGGGCTCTTGCTGGTAGTTTTCATGGCAGTTACCAGCACCACAAGTGCGCAGCTGATTGCTGTCTCCAGCATTGGCTCGTTTGATATCTACCGCACCTATATCAACCCACATGCCAGCGACAAACAAGTGATTCGAGTCTCGCACTGGGTCGTTGTGGGCTTTGGAATTTTTGCTTCTGCTTTTGCGACGGCACTTCACTATGGAGGAGTCGACCTTAACTGGATGGGTTACTTTCTGGCGACTATCATCTGCCCTGGCGTAATTCCAATGGCGTTGACCATCCTTTGGAACAAGCAGTCCAAGGCCGCTGCTATTATATCACCCATCTTGGGCCTCGTAAGTTAATGTCTACCCCAAAGCTCGGCCAGATGCTGACATGATACACAGGCCTCAGGTATCGCCGCATGGCTCGTCTCAGCGTATGCATACTACGGTGAGCTCACGATCTTAACGACCGAGGCTCAACTGCCTTGTTTGTGGGGAGCAATAACTTCAACCTTTTCATCGGGAATCTATTCTGTCCTGATCACGTGGATCAAAGTACGCCCGGTATTACATCTTCTCATATCCATGAAACTCACTGACCCTGTCACCGCAGCCCCAAGACTTCGACTGGCGCATCTTCCTCCTTTTAACCGAGGTCAAAGATGGCGGATCTACATCCGCTGTCATAGAGGTTGACAACCTGGATCAAGTGCAGCATCCCTATCCGGAGAAGGAGCTGCGCAGAATGAACCGCGCGAAGACTATTGCAGCGATTGCCAGTGTTGTCATTGGGTTGGTGACCTGGGTTGTCTGGCCGTTGCCACTCTACCGCGACTGGGTTTTCAATAAACCAGTATGAGTTTTCCCGCATCCAACTCATTTATTTCGTCAACTAACCGCATCTAGTTTTTCATGGGCTGGGTTGTTGTGTCCATCATATGGCTGTTTTTCTGCCTTTTCGTGTCCTCTATTTACCCAGTTTATGATGGGCGCAAAGTACTCGGTTTGGCATTCAAATTAGCATGGCGAGCTCTACGTGGGAAGGGGCTTCCAGAGGAGAAAGTAACAGAGGAGGAGCGCAGCGAAGATGACGGACAGGTGCTCAGTGATCAAGAAGCCACAAAGCCTGGGAAAACGCAGTGATAAGAAGTGGCTCCTATAACAAGATGGTCTCGGATTTCCGAAATCGGTTACAAAGTGGCGGCGTCGTAACTTACAGCTACCCAAATATTATAGATTATAGATTGAATAGAAGAGCTTGGCGTTCTGGCTAGAAAGCCCATGCGATCCAACCTTAGAATTATCTCTGATGTTCACCCTTGACACTCCTCTCCGTCGAAGATTAGCCTCGCGATTAGAAGTTAATCATTTGTGAATATTCGCAAATACATAGAGGTAGCATTAAGTCCAATTCGTAAACATGCGTATCCCCACAATGCAAACACAAGATTACATGTTAGATCACATGGGACAATGCTAATCCTTGGTTACGTGTCATGCTGCATAACATTAACCACAAATGCAGCAATAATCGACAAAATGCATCATTATTGGTGGAAATACAGCTAAGAGAAGTATAGAAACAACGAAGATGCAAGGTTAATCCCCTCAAATCTATCCGATGCACCCCAAGAATACGTACCAGTTAAGTATCAGTGATGTGCCGATCCATCCTTTTACCAGCTCTCTGCTCCGCCACTTCTCCTCATCAACAGCGCTTCCAAAATTAACACTCGTCATTTTTAAGTCACCATACATCTATTAAAAATGTCTCCCGACGTCCCTGAAGTCGAAATATTTCCTGTCTTGAAGGACAAGGTGGCCCTGATCACCGGCGGTGCTCAAGGGATGGGCAAAGTCACAGCTGAGGTCTTCCTAAAGGCGGGAGCCAAGGTAGTCATGTGCGATATTCAGGATGACAAAGGCAAGGAGGTAGCCCGGGAACTATCGCCTTTGGGCGAAATATACTTCTCCAAGACGGACATCTCGTCTTCGGAGCAGGTCTCGGCGTTGGTTCAGTTCGTTGTCGACAAGTTTGGGCGCCTTGGCTGCGCCATCAATAATGCCGGCCTCACGCCAGATAATGGCACTTTGCTAGATTTCGACGAGAATTACTGGGATAAACTGATGAGTATCACATTGACGGGTACTGCGCTGTGCGTGAAATACCAGATGAGGCAGTTCATCGCGCAGGGTGGTGGTGGTTCAATCGTCAACATTGCCAGTATCAATGCCTTCAAGCCTCAGCCAAATATGCCCGCTTACACATCGGCGAAGCATGCCATCGTCGGTTTAACCAAGCATGCAAGCATGGAGGGCGGACCCCACAACATTCGTGTCAATGCCGTTGCTCCAGGTGCCATCTTCGTGAGTTATGCTCTACAACTCTCTTCAAACCTCTCATTTGGACGGTTATTAACATCATCCGAATTGACAGACTGCCATGGCTGAGGAGGCACTAAAAATTATGAAGACTACTCATGACGAGTTTGCTCCCAAAGTCAGCTACCTGAATCGCTTCGGCCTACCTCGGGAAGTGGCACAGGCCTCGTTGTGGTTGTCATCACCATCGGCGTCATATGTTACAGGTGTCGTATTGCCCGTGGATGGTGGCTTTTTGGCCAAACAAATAGTTGTTCTTAAGATGTTCTCTAAATGCCATGTTCATTCCAGCGGCATGCCCACCCACGGTAAAATGTTGCCAATTAATTCGTAGTTAAGAAGTTCCATCCCAGAGAGGGCGGGGATAAGTTTAGGGATAGTTTACGGCGAGCCCGGATTAGGCCGTAATGTCAGATCTTGATATGTGTAAGGTCAAAATATGAGAACACGACGGTGAAAAGGAGACTGCAGGAAATGAACCAGTCATACTCTAAATAAGAGCCAAACTCTGCACTCCTATTGCTCATATGCCTTTAGTTAGCTACAAATACAGTGTGCTTAACTGGTACAGAAAATCCAAGCAGGTTCCGCAGAATCTCCCTATGTTACCAAAATAGACTTCACAAGCATGAGAAAACAAAAGCCCCATAGTCTCAAAAGTGCGGTAATGTCACGGTCGCCACAGCATTGACCAAATAGTGATGCCTTCGCCGTCATCTTTAGGCAGTCCATCGTCGCCAACTACTCCCTTTCCCAAATTTATGTCACCGACCACTTCAAATCCAAGTTTCAGATATAGCTCTCTGGAAGCATCCGTTGTAGCCTCAAGCCAGATGGGATGCTTGCCCTCTCGTGCTCTGCCTTGTAAGTGCACAAGCAGCTTACTTGCATGTCCGTTGCGACGACGATCTATATCTGTAGCCATGATAAAAACATACCAGTGTTCCTTTTGTTCAGCTTTGGTGAATGCTTTTTTCATCAAAGGCTCAACACTACCATTATACTCGACCATAGCACGCTGTTGATGAAAATTTAGGAATTAGAGATGCAATATCCAAACAGAGACACAGGATTAAAATCCAAAATACCTTGAAGCATCCTATGCCTATTTCCCATATGGCCGTAAAAATACCAGCAGAGGGAAGTGTCCAGAGATTGTCCATGCTCGTATTTGGCGGCATGAAAAGGCCACATGAAGCGAAATCGTCTGCTTGGATGAAAACACCACCGTTGAGACTTCCCTGTGTCAAAAATCCGGAGAGCAGCTTTGCGAGCATTACTTTCTGCTTCGACTCAGGGAGATCATATAGGAGCCAATTGTAGACCGGGTCATCGTCGAAGGCTGGAGCCAGTATCTGCACGGCCCCCTCCAAGAGCTCTGCGATGACGGACACTTGTTATCAGTATTCAATAGGACTCTGCCAAAGTAGGGGGGGGAAGCAGTGTGAAATGTCTACCTCTGCCGCCACTCCCTATCTGTTTCTCATCCCTCGGCTGAACCCCCATACTCTCTCAATGAGTGTGCTCGCGCTAAGTCTCGCAAAAATTGAGACCACTTGGCGGAGCTGGTAACGACAGGTTGGCTTGTCGATCAGAGGTCCAACCTCGTGCGCGGTACTTTGAGCTGCCTATAGGTACTGAAAACAAGAGCATCCAGATCAATCGGTGCTAATTATATAGAGTAAGTTAAGCGATATGTGCGAGGGGTCATGACTGGGAGAAAGGAGGTTATCACCATTTGCAAACCCCTATACACAAGTTGCCTTCCAGGTCAGTGTTGAATCACCTGATTGGCACATACATTCAACTAAAAGGAAATTGACCCATTATTACTAAGATTGATATTCCGGTAATAGAAATATTCACCTAAGGAGAGTACGTAAGCTTACTCTCGCCAAGCAGCAAGGTTTACTAGACACTTTGACGCGGTCTACTGGCCGTTATTTCCCCTGTTCCGGAACCCCCGGCGCCCTCACTGGTAGGGTAGCAGAGTCTCTAAACCGCTCGGCACCTTCAGAAAGAGGAAAGGGAGACAACTAACCAAGCCATTCTTTTTACAAAATTGGTATTATGATCCGCAGCAATGGTGTCATAGTGACGTGATTCAGAGTTGAAAGGTAGTGCGGGGATTCTACTGCCGAGGATGCAATTCATGCCAAACCGATGGTATTAATAAATCAGCGTCCTAGTTTTCCTTTAGATACCCTCCTCTCTCTCATTTGAAAACATAAATTGCGGAATTAGAGACGAGATAATCTTATCGTCATTTTTTCAGCATATGCTTTCGACCTTCTCCTTATAGTTGCAATGACCGAATCGTTCGTACAGCATGCGACACGAAGAGTTGCGTTCATGATGCTAACTAAGTAAAGAGCTATCTCTATACCTAAAAAGGTCGTGACTCCAGGAAAAGGTCACGCGGCCGTTCCTCAGTTGCTTGGCAACGATTTCTTGACAAAATTTCCCAAGCTTTCTATCGAGCAGGTCGGTCATTTACGGCATTTTCACAATCTCGTCAACCAAAAAGATGGAGATTGGCACCACATGGGCAGTCAAGAGCCAGGGCAGGAGTGGCTCGACGCGTATCGATATCAACTTGCCACTATGGCATACGCTGCTGGGGCGGCTCATTACCATAGACTCCCTCTGCTCAGATCGGTGTTCAAGACATTGCTTAAATCGCTGATTAGGAAAATGATGCTGCGAGATGTATGGGGCTATTGGTTTCTTACCAGTCACAGTGGTAAACTGATAGATCCAGATCTGACCGAACTGCGCCAGCCCTGGGCGGACCCAGTAGTAAGAGAAAACATTATGGTATGCAAATGGACCTGTAGGAGCTTAAAGTTAGATGCTGATTTTACTCAAGTACTCTGGTCACCTTCTTCTGATGGTATCCTTATATACAATGCTTTTCAACGATGACAAGTTCAATGAAGAAGGCGCCCTTGAGTTTAACTGGTGCCCCGTGTTCTGGGGAATGGGGCCAGAAATATTTACATACAATCGAGCAAGCCTACAAGCTGCTATTATCAAGGAAATGGAACGAGAGAGATGGCTGGGGGTATGCTGTGAGCCTAACAGCATCTTCATCGTTTGCAATCAATTTCCGGTAATTGGCCCATGAATCTCCGATCAGTGGTTGATGACTGACAAAATTGCTACGTCGATCAAGTTGATCGCCATACGATATAATGACGTACGCGATGGAACATCTTCATCAGCCACGGTTCTTGAACAATATCGAGCTGCTTGGAAAGCAAAGGACATGCTTCAAGAAAACGGACTCTATATTGACTCATTTTCTCCCAAGCAGGATCGCAAGCGGCATGCGAGAGATGTTGGATTCACAGCTTGGTAGGAGGTCTCAATCCAACTACTTCCGCTCTATACTGATGAAAAACAGGGCTGCTGCATTCTTGAATTCTTGGGATCCGACGAGTGCAAACAGGGCATACAACACTATTATTAGGTCCATACCACTAGGCAGCGCTTCATTAGACGATGCATATAGGTCATTTGCCATCAAAACGTTGATGCCCGGAGCCACAGCTCACCTGCATAAACCAGTGCTTGGATACACTTCGATGATGGTTTCAGAGGCAGGCGATTCGTCGACGCTGGAAAAGCTGCTCAATCTTGTGGAAAACAAATTCACTCCAAACTGGGATGAAGGTGGGCTCTTTTATATCCCATCACGAAGCAGCAGCAATTCTTACGTGGATATGGATCGATTCACCGGGAACGCGGCCGTTGCCTACGCGCGGCTGAATGTACCACAGGGCCAGCGCAAGATGTATGAGAATCCGTGGGGTAACGAGCACTTTTCCAATTATCCATTCGTTGATAACATCGATCTCTCGAGCGGCGTTGACTTTCTGCGTGGATGTTGGGACGAGAACGAGAAAGCTCTTGTCATCACTCTACGTTCATTTGATGGAAAGACCAAACAGTAAGCGGTCAAAAAACTTTCACTTTTTCTTAATCCTGCTGGTGTTAATTGTTTATCACAGGGTCAAGCCACTCTTTTCGGGATTTGCCAAGGGCTCATACTGCGTCTATCAGAATGGAAAGTTCACGGCAGTATATGAGCTTGTTGAAAAGACGGATATCATCCAGCTCGACGTACAAGTCACTGCAGAGGAGTTCGATGTAGTGATTAGACTGTTGTCATAATGGCCTAGCTACAGGTAATTCAAAACCCAGTCTCTTAACCTGCACAGTCGCTTATGGCCTGGAAGTAAAGACAGCATTGAAGAGGGGACGTAGTCTAAAGCCAGCCAATAGCGTTGTGGGACACAGCTGTGAGGCGGAGCAACCAGGCAGACACGCTAAATACCTGGCAGGCTGAATTGCAGGCATTTTATTGATGCCACGTTCATCAATAAATAAACACGCGACGTACAAAACAGACGGGATGCGGTGAATAAGCCGCAAACAACCTCCACCAAAGGACCCATCATGAGACAAATGAAGAAGACTGTCACTTTTCGTGACATCTGGATTGATCGCCACCGCAATGGTGTGGCGGTGACATTGGCCCGGTTCGCCCTCGTCACGCTTGTCGATATCCTTTTCATCATCTGCCGTCCCTTTTCAATCATCATACAACTGATGTTTGACGCTTTGAGATCTGTCTTTACTCGAGTTCAACGGCATGCGCGTCGCTGGCACGGGGCAACATCTAATAGCGGGCTTTTTCAGGCACATTCCCCCGAACACCTTCTTCAGCCAATCCCAGGCCCGGCTCCCATCAACATCAAGGATAATCAGACCGATTCCAAGCCAAATGGTCGGTTCTTCAGCATGCTGCCACCTGAAGTGCGGCGACGTATCCTAGTTCACGCGTTTGGACGTCGCACGATGCACATGCATGTGAAGTTTCAGAGTCCCTGGGCCTTGGCGGATGCCGAGCCGCAAGATATGGCAGCCCATGCGCGGCTCGAGCCTTTCATCCGGCATGATCAGCCGCAGAGGTGGATATGGTACGGCTGTGTATGCCATCGAAGCGAGCCGGAAGACGATCCGCTGTCGCTGGGCAGGACTCGGAGCTGGCCCGTCAAGCAACGATCGTACTTCCTCGACGGTTGTCTAAAGGGTGAAGGCACCTGTTCCAAATGGCCTGGAGCATGGCCTAGCAAGTGCCAGATTGGGGCGACGGGTTGGCTTCGCACTTGTCGGCAAGCGTGAGTGTTGGCCTTGATATGGCCCACGACATTGGTCGAAATTGCTGACAATAAGGCAGATACGTGGAGGGAATGGAAGTCCTCTACCGCACCAATACAATACAGATCGCTTCAAGGCCTCTCCTGCGCGGATTGCATGACATTCTTCCGTCCACACCCCTCTCGCTATTAACGTCTCTTGAACTGGTTTGGCATCCCTTTTCTCTCCCCGTCACAGAAGGATTCAGAGGCTACAGATCTCAGACAAAAGAAAAAACGATACTCCCATCCCTGATCTATCTCCGAATATGCATAGTTGGCCTAGATTTGAACAGCCACAGCGAATTTCGGAGGTTTCTTTCTGAGCTTGATCCCGCGGTTGAACCTATGGAAGAAGTCGCCCCAAAACAACTTGAACAGTTCGATATGCTCGTTAAGAGGATTGCACCAGCTTCCGCCAATGTAACCATTAGTTTAGAGAACTTGCCTTTCTACCAGGCTGCAGAAGCCCATTTAATAAAGAAGCAAGGGAGTGGGATAACCCGACCACAGATATCGGAGTTGGGAGGATTGAAGTATTGGCGCCAGATATCCATGGCCGAAGACAAGACATTGACGCCCCAGCGGATCGAAGAAGGGGAAGTGCTCAGTCAAGCTCTTGGCGGATATTGGGTACATATTGCTGAGGAAGTGGTTGAGGGTGGCATATCTGGTAAGTTCGAACTCTTGCGGAGACAATGTCTCCAAGCGAGCTGCGTTTCTAGGATTAACAGTGAACAGCTGAAGACAGCCCTTATCAGAAACGGCCTTTTATTATATAGCACGAGAAATATACGCTATTGGATCGGTGATGGTTGTCGCAATCAACAAAATGCTGAGCGCGATTGAGTTTGATATCACTCACAGAACATTGCACCATTTACTATCGCGCCCACGACCAATCAATTCAGACACCGTTAGACTGAGGAAACCATATGCATAATTACAGCCAGTAATTAAGCACTAAGCATAACCAGAAGCCTGGTAGGTGGAGAACCAATGGCAAATCGGCACCTCACGTGTGTCCTGTAATCAATGGGAGGGGAGGAAGGATTGTCCCAGCCACTCCCCACTACAACTTCTGCCTGCAATGTGATGGATGGTGTTATTATGAGCTGACCACCAGGACCATTTAGCACCAACAGTGGCTGGAGGAGGCTACGTCGAGCCCCTCAAATATCAGCTGGGCGGCTAATCTCAACTCCTGCTTAGCTGAAAAACAAGGGGTGTGGTGCTGCACGAGGCTTTAGCCAACACGTTCCTTTCCTGATTAATTCAGCAATGAAAATCTCTTACCGGACCTGTCCCCACATTCCGTCGATCTACTGTTTCGCCCATTCTCGAGACCTTGTTGACTCGTGTCAAACGCTGGCTTGAGCTTATGTCAGAGGGATCAATGAACAGCAAAGCCAGTAATACCCTGTGACTACCTGGTGTTCTTTGCCAGGTATCCCATCCTGGGTTTCCAAGTCTCCAGCAAAGGTCTTACTGGCTGTACTGGTCGTGATGTATCCATGCCTGCCCACCCACTCACGCTGACTGCAGCCCTGTAGTGCGCCTTAACCCCATCTCAGAGGCTACTGGGCTCAATCATGGGCCTCAGCAGGTCCATGTACCTGCCAACTGGCCCAACTGATGGATATCCCATCCCCCTTTGCTAGCAGATACCTGCAGGATGGCCTTGCATGAAAATGGCGTAACCGCTAGCTAAAAATAAGCGGCCATACGGGAGGAGTTTGACCCCTCCCCGGCCCTCAATGGACAGGTAGGAGCCAACAAAGCAACCCAGCAGACATTCATCAGGATTGCCAGAGCTCCCAGCGCTTCCCAACGTGTCGACATTGTCCAATGCCGCCCCACAAGATGACAGCGAGCGCCAACTGTGCTGACAATGTTGCTCTCTTGCTTTTCTGAAATTGCTCGCCTGTGTGGTCTGCTTGAGCAATGGCACCTCCCCGAATGGAGGATCATGCGGCGAGTCTGCCCACCTCCCGGTTCGCCCTACTGCCTCGCCTGATCCCCTCCACATCGGCTCTTTGCGCAGTACGGAGTACTTCTGTTGGCTTTCCGGACGAGATTGATTACCCTGTCCGGTATTATTGCTACTACAAATATTCCTTGGCCGCCCAATCGATTGTGTTCCCTTCCTCCCGTCCTCCATCTCATCCGTGTTACTACTCACCATCGGCTGCACGCCAAGTCTCCCTCGTTCCACCGCCACATCCCATCCACAGTTCGTTCACATAATCACTGCAGAGGAACCCTCTTGGCATCATGGGCGAGCAAACTACCGCTCCTCCTCCCGGCCCGCCGCTGCCCGCTGGCTGGGCTGGGCAGTGGGATCCCAACTACCAGCGATGGTACGTTCAATTGAGGACGCCGACATATTGACGTGTGTTTGAGGGGGCGCTGACAACGCGTTATTTTTACGCAGGTTCTACATTAACACGCACACTGGAGTCTCCCAATGGGAATTCCCTGGCGCCGCTCCTACTACGGGGGCGCAATCGTCTCATCCGCCACACCCGCCTGGCGCTGAGGGCGACAAGGCGACGCGTGGTGAGGCTGAGAAGTACCAAGGTGACAAGGACAAGGAGGAGAAGAAGGACAAGGACAAGGATGAGAAGAAAGATAAGGATAAGGACGAGAAGAAGGATAAGGAAGAAAAGTCCGACAAGGATAAGGACGAGAAGAAGAAGAAGGACAGAGATGGTGGCTCCGATGGTGAAGATGGAGGTGAGAAGAAGGAGAAGAGCGGCGGCGGTTTCCTCTCATTGCTAAAGAAGGGCAAGGAGTTGCTAGACAAGAAGAAGGCAAAGGACAAGGCCAAGAGCGGCGGCGGCCATGGTGGTGGTGGTGGTCATGGTGCCCACGCTGCTGGTGTTCATGGCGACGAGGCGCATCATTCTGGCGACAGCGATCACGAGGAAGGCTCTGAGAAGGAGGGAAGCGACGACTCTTCCTCCTCGTCATCAGAGGAGGAGGAAGAGGAAGAGGAAGAGGAAGAGGAAGAGGAAGAGGAAGAGGAAGAGGAAGAAGAGGAGGAGGAGGAGGAGGAAGACTATGATGAGGATGATTAAGAGCGAATTTCATGGCGCTATCACAGTGTAATTCTCTAGTTTTGGATATCTAGAAAGAAACAAGATTTTATTCAATCAACAAGTCAAAGACCCGACTAATTTCCAACAGAACCCTTGACTAGTTAGACAAGAGTCCGAACATAGGGGGAAGACGGCATTGATGGAACAAAGAAAGAGTTCCAGCTATCCATGGTAAGACGCAAGTTTGACGGAGTATACTCTTTCAGAGACGAGGAGGACTCTCCCTCGGGGGAATAAGCCCAAGACTCTCAGCCTCCGTTTGCACCGTCGCAGAAATTGTTTCCTCAAGGCTTTCTTCCTTGGGCTCCCAGTCAAGATGCTTTCGAGCTCTGCTGGCCCCATAGCGAACGTTGGTCCCATACAACACGTTGCCGTGAGGCAGAAGGCTTTCAAACTGGTCTGCGTCGAGCTCTTCAACTGACTTGTCAGATAAAAGGTTGGCGCCCGCTGCTGCTGATGCAATCCGTGTAGATATTTCCGCCAATGACTTGGTTCAACATGTTAGCTAACTAGCATTCACCCCAATTCAAATAGCTTGCACTCGTAGACATACCAACTCCCCTACGCCAGTGAAATATAGCCCTCTCGGCCCCCAGAGGTTGCCATCTTTCATGCCCTCCACTGCCTTCTCAACAAGGCGGACAATGAGTTGGCTCAGATCTCTAATATGGATGGAGCTCCAACGGCTCTCGCCAGGCCCAACTTGGAACGCTCGACGACGCTTCAACGTTTCTCTGGCAAGGTCGGGAAGCTGGACGCTCCTCTGATTAACCGGGCCACGACCAGGCCCATAGATCATGGGAGGTATGACGACAGCAGTCTTAATGTGAGGAGCAGTTGTAGCCACGTCCAGCATATAGTTATCGACCTTGCGATAAGGATACTTCTTGATGAAAGTTTTCAAAGCCTCAATATCCAGAAGATCATCCCAGATAACATCGCTACCTGTGCCAGAGACTCGAGTCTTATCCGTCACCTCCGCCGCGGCCACAACACTTCCTCCGGATATTTGTATCCAGTACGGGGAGCTGGGATCTTTGGATTTGGCAGAGAGACCCCGATGGATCGCTTCTACGCTTTGGAGGTGTCCTGAAGCGGCCAGATCTAGAAAGCTCGTGGTGAGAATGGGGAAAAAGTATTGGATGTTCGTCCTGCTGCTTACTGACGACAATGTCGGCTCCGGTTGCTTGTCGAGAAATTAGACTGGAATTATCCAAGTCTCCCTCCACTACTTGGACTTGATTGCTGTCGAAGGCCCCCTTGACAGCTTCAATCTTGGCAGCACCTCGGACTAGAGCCTTGACTTGGTATTCTGGGTGCAATTTGTTGAGAAGATGGAGGAAATCGCCACCAATGTAGCCCGACGCACCGGTTCTAGAGATAGCATGATGAGATTAGTTCAACTTGGAAAGGTCTTGTTTAAAGGGAGTTCAACCAACAAGAAGATCTTCGCCATGGTCTTCAACTAACAGTGCAAATACTTGCGCAAGTATAGAGTGAGATGAAAAAAGGACGCAATTTTACGGAGTTTGTCTCCCATGATCGGTCAAGTACGAACCCCCATTCTCTTTTATACCTACAAAGGCATCTATCGTTAATTAGTAAAGGATATCGGAGACGGAGACGGAGACGGACAAGCCCCACTCCGCGGAATTCCGTCTCGAGGATGGCAGCTGGCAACCTGAGTCGTGACATATTTGCGCAGAGCTTTAAGGCACACTACTGTTATTAGGTCATCACCATAATGAAGGCATCACCTAAGTTGAATTTAGATTGTTGATAACGAGGTGAGTTTATGTAGGTTGGTGTGTGGCTCGCCCAAAACGACTTGCTGCCATCCTTTGGAGAGACTCTCCTAGCTGTCTCTTATCTGCTGGGAGTCGTTTCTGATAGGTATCCAGTGCTAGAATAGCTTCAAGAAAGCAATCCTTCTCATATTCGTCTGCCGCTTCAATGCTGAGATAGACTCGGTTGAGCAAATCCATCGCAGAAAGAGGATCTTGCGTAGCCATGTATGGGAAGATCATCCATAACTGAACACAGATGTCTCGGTACCGGGAATATGTGATTGCTTCTGGAGAGCCATATATGACCCCAATGTCGTAAATAAATCGTCGGATGACCATCTGAAGAAGAAGTGTTCCCGCAAACGCCTGTGCGAAAAAGAGTGATCCAAACTCATACTTGCTCAGGGTGAAAAGTTCGGCGTCGGGAACCTCACGCAAAAAACCCAGAGAAGTCGCCTTCTCAATCACTCCAGCCATCAATATCTCCATCTCCTCGTCCAGGCTGTGAAGTGTATCGAGGAGTTCTACCTTCTTGTTCTCCATCATATCAGGATTTTTCCGGAGGGACTTGGTTATGTGGACCCAGTCCGGCCACTTAGCTACGATCCCCTCCCCCATATCAAAGTCATCGGAAAAGCATTCCTGTCCACGGGCTATCTCCTTCTCCCGGGTGGCCTTTTCTGCAATCTTTTCCCAGTTTTCTTTTAACATATAGTTCTCATCACCTGTCAGTGATAAGGCAAACTAATTCCAGGTATTAGACAATTCTTTTCCAGAGCGTTTCTAACCAACGTAGGGGGATAAACCTACCAGGGCACCTTGGTTCTCAAAAGTCAATAAAACATCTAGCCCATCATCCAGATTTGGCGGGCCTTTATGTTGAAGCACATACTTGATGCCATTCAAATGCTTGACCAAGTGTTTCACGCTGCCAACGCCGAATAGGCTCTCGGTGCGCTCCAGCAGCGCCATTGCGCCTAGAGTCTCCGCTGTAAACGCCGTCTTATCGTCCTGGACAGCCTTCCCAAGACTCCGGAGCGCCTTTCCAAAGAGCTTCAGGGAGATTAACTTCTCCCCGGGCGCCCGGCGACGATAGTCCGCCCACGCGGAGCAAAACACAGCCGTGCAGTCTCGTAGACAGGTGCTATCTCCCAGTCGCTGCCGAACATGCGGTAGGTAGCTCATCTGCCTGCAGACTCCATTGTCGAGACCATCCCTCAAGAGGATATTGAGCTTGATGGCAAGTCTTTCAGCCGAAGTGGAAGGCGGGCTCCTGCGCGGTGCCTGGAGGCGCATCACAGATATGGAGGTTCCATTTTCGAAAGTTGATGCTTGGCCGCGCTGGACGAGCTTGGCAAACTTGGTGCGAGGGTTTTGGGATTGTAGCTCAGGCGAATCGAGCCGTATCCTCCCTTGAACTGGAGGCGCGGCTCGGTGGTCGCCTTGGTGGACAAACTTGGCGAGGGATGTCGGCCCCTGGCAGGCGAGCTTGGAGCGCAAACATTGTCCACAGGCTGGCCAATTTTGATCACACTGGGGCGACTTCAGTTAGCTTCTATCTTATTACTGTCGATGGGCTACATGGGCGGTGTTGCTGAGATCGACCATCTGGTTATGACCACTCACTGACCTTGATCTTTTTCCGCTTGCAATCTTGGCAGGCTGTTGATTTGGGAATACCAGGCATGGCGACTCAGGACAGGCTTGTCTGAGCCTACGAGAGGGTCAGGGACCAGCTACAGAGCTGGAAGTGCCTTATTTGGATGGTATGCTGGCGGCGTGTAGCAGGGCACGCGCTGGCTGAAAGAGAATTATGTTTGAGAGGAGACTGGCACCAGAAACCAACTAGACGGAATAAGCTGACATTTGGTGGCCTCTTCGGCTAACCCACAGTGGGGGAAGCGCTGTGGCCAAGGAAATAATCTCGCCATATCGATCCCTAGCGAGCTGTCATTGTTTTGCAGCGCCCAATACTTGATCACCATTAATTTGTCGCGTATCTTCAACTAACAATAGGTATAAGCAAAATGACTGAAGTTCCCCCGACGTCAGAAAGACCTCGGAGAGTCGAATCGGTAATGAATGGGTGGGATCTTACAGGTAGCCTTGAGTCAGTCCTCCACCAATGAGTAGCAATGTCGGCTCTCCCTGGGTGAATACAGCAGACTACTTTCAATTGCTTTGCGCACTTGATAAGCTCCTCGCGTAGTCAAATTTAAGCCAACGGGGTCAAAACGATTGATCTCCTACCACGATTTCCATCTCTACTCCACGTCAAAGGTTCACCTCATCTGCAAGTTTCCCCACAGCAAGCTTAACATGTTGTATCACCATCCGATCGGACTAAATTATGAGTCAGTATTTGGGATGATTGGAATACGCTTTACAAATAGATCGATATAACAGGTGGGGAAAGCGATTAGGCCTTGATAAATATGATGGTGGTTACGAGAGAATACGGAGGCCCGATAGGAAGATACCAGACTCCAAAACTGCCTCGTCTTCATTCGAGTGGTGTCTCGCCATCCCCTCAAAGACGGGCTTCGCATATCATCCCTGCCTAACTAGCAATTATGGCGACGACGGCTCCTCTCCATGACATGAGCTCCGTCTCCATCCGTCCGGTCACGCAAGACGACGCCGCAGCTATTTGCGCCATCTACAATCCGTACGTCGCGTCCACTGCCATCTCGTTCGAGGAAGCGCCCGTCGAACCTACGGAGATGGCGCAGCGGATCGCCAAAGTGGAAGCAGCCGGATTGCCCTGGCTGGTCGCTACAACAGGAGGAAAACCAATCGGATACGCCTATGCCACCAGATGGCATGCCCGGCCAGCCTACCGCACGTCGGTCGAAAGCTCCGTCTACATCGACCAGCAGGTCACCAGGTCCGGGGCAGGGAAGACATTGTACAGCGCCCTGCTTGGCGAGCTGCGTGCGCGCGGACTGCACGTGGTAATCGGCGTCGTTGCTCTTCCTAACGAGGGGAGCATTGCATTCCACGAGCGCTTTGGGTTTCAAAAGGTTGCGCATTTCAGCGAGATTGGTCGGAAGTTTGGGCGTTGGATTGACGTGGGATATTGGGAACTGAAGCTGGAGGGCTGATGTGCAGCGCAGTTGTGAACAAGAATGAGAGGTAAAGAGACGGCCACATAGGTATATCTTTGCTATTTTCACTTGCTACCAATTTGTCAACTTAAAGAAAGGAAAGGCAATTCATTGCAGGGAGCAAAGGCACATGCCCCGAGAAGCGCAGAGGCCCAGTTCATCAGAGGCTGAAAGTCTGCCTATGGAAGTGGATTTTCGCGAATTGGATACGAATAAACTACACGGCGAAATAGAGCAGCCCCAGTCTCGCTAAGCCCAAAGCTTGGGAAGTAGTCAAGTATATTGGAGGCAAAAGACGGGCTCATCAGATACGAGGGGGCACGGAGGCTCAGCGGAATCACACCTCATAGGTGGCGAGTCTGCATCGCTTTTCTCCTGCCAATGGACGCCTGTTGAACACGAAAATTTACACTCTCCAAATCCTGGCATCTATTGTGCCGCTACAGTGCTCTTGGCTCCCAGAAGCCAGGCACGAGCGTCGCACACCTGCTACCAACCAGGTGATGTGCAAGACGTTGGCCTGGACACAGTAGAGAACAGATTTCGTAGCAATATCATAGAGTCCTGCAAGTATCACAAATGCATCGTCATGCGTGGAAATGGTGGCCCAAAGTCAACTTGTTTCATTAAAACAAGGCATGAACAATTCCGTGTAAACTAGCCTTTCATATCTCTAGACAGCTAGCAGACTACGCATCATCGTGTCATTTTCACGCACCCCCCGACCAAACAACTACTCCAGAAGGAGATCAGAGTCAATGCGATGGCGCCATGACCAGTTCACGCCCCTCTGCAGCCAACCTCCCGCGCGGGTGAGCAGATTGAGGGGTTTGGGAAGGATTCTCGGCCAGGCCGTGCAGCCAAGCGAGATCCCATCCAGCCTCGTGTTTCTCGCGTCCAAGGCGCCTAGCTATTACATGGCTAAATCCTGTATGCCTATAAGAGGGAGTGTTAGGCATAGATGGAGCGAACATTGCACAGTTGAGGCGAAGAGTTGGGACAGCGTGTCAGTCAGTAAATGAGTAATATTTACGAATGCAAAAATACAGACAGATCAACAGTCTGCCATTTCCCAGTACCCAAATCCCCTCCAAATCCCTGAACCACCCTACAACAAAGCAGGCCCAAAGGTGTAAATGCAGAAAAAACCCTCTTGCGCCGTCAATGTAACTCTCGTCTCAGTGTACAAGGCCCTCCCGATCCACAGTATGGTCCCAAAATGATGTTGTACGAAGGTTCATGTCTTCATTACTTCGTTAAATAATACAAGCGGATGGCTGTTTTCCCCCCTCCCCACCAGCAATACAGTGTAAAACGCTCAGTAGGTGGCGAGCGTCGTCTTGTCCTTCCATCTCTTGCGGGCGTTGCGCCGCATCTGCTCGCTGATGCCGTAGGTCAGTGAGTTGGCCATGCCGATGAACTGGGTCGTTGCTTGTAGGGCTTGCAGCCATCGTGGGGATCCGCCGAGCGACTCGGCCAGTCGGTTTGCGATGCCGGGAATCCACAGCATGATGTATGCCAGGGGGTAGCCGTTCATGAGCATCATCCTTGTTAGGTTTGGCGGTGGCGGAAGGGCTGAGTGTGTACTGCCGTTTGGGTCGGAGGGGCTCATCATGTCGCCAAAGTCGTCGTCTATGCCGCCGCCCTCGAGCTCGTAGGAGACGGTGTAGGAGTGTCGGACGAGGATGTGCTGTGTGTCTGAGGATCGGAAGGTCGGTGCGTCGCTGTCTTGGGATCGTCGCTCGGAGAAGGAGGAGGCGCCCAGGAGCATTCGAAGAGCGTTGTAGGTTCGTTGCAGGTGGACGTAGATGTAGGTGTAGATGGAGATCGTAGCCACGAATATGGCAAGTCTCCAACCGTGGCCAAGAGCGTATCGAAGAGTCAGGTGCTCGGAACGGATCCAGCACCAATTTCCGCTCACATAGCCATAAGAATTCAATGCCAGGCCAATATTGCCTTGAAAATTGCTTCTGTTAGACGGGGTCAAGATGGTGGGGGGGTTGGCGATTGGGACTCACTTGTAATGAGGCCGGGGATCCAGGCGGCGACGCAGATCAAGGTCCGGGCCCTTGATGAAAGCCCATTGACCCAATTATTTCGGAAGACGGTGAGGAGTACAGTAATGGAAATGATGAGGATATTGAAATCGATCGTTTGGACGCTGAGTTGGCCAATCCAGGCATTGGCGACGCACGAGGAGTTGGGGGGTTCCTCGGGTGAGGGTAGCTTGCCTCTGCCGATGGCGATTGCGCCGGATATGGTGTTGTTCAAACTGTTGATTAAATCTAGGGACTGGAGGTTAGTTGATCGGTTCGCCAGTGACCGCAAAAGGGGCTGAAGGGGTCGAGAGTATGGGGAGAGGCTGCCGCACCTGAAGCCAGAAGGTTGATGATGATGGAATGACGGAAATGCTTTCGCGGCGGGTTCGCAACTTGCAGGACGATGACGGTAAGAGATGCTAGAAACGAGAGTAGCGAACCGATGAATGTCGGTATCGCAACGACCAAGTCGACGGGCACATCGGCCTCAGCCATGATGTTTGCTGCCTATCCAACAGCTTCAGAACAGGCTTTCATCCCATTGAATGACTGCGATAGAAAAGAGAGCTATCGATATGGAGGAGGTGGGCAATACTTGAGGAGCTCAGACCTGGCCATCAACCGGCCGGGCCAGGATCCAGCCACACCACCAGCACCGGGGACCAACCAAAGAGTCCCAGACCAGGGTGTTACCCGTTACTGTCCCCTGTCTGACTAATTTTTGGAGGATACGATGCTACGCTCCTCCTGCTCTCCATGTTAATAAGCACCCTGCTAGGCCTCGCTCGTACCTGAAAATGCATTAACAGAACCATCCTCTAGCTCAACTAACGAATCAAACTGGACACCTGTGTTTGAATGCCCTCGTTTGGTCCATCCAGGAGTAGTTAGAACAGCAAACGGATGATGCTGTGCAGAGTGAGTGCGGGCTTTAGCTCTGCCTCTAGCATGGCTCGACATCCCTAACCCACCGTGACCCAAAACAACCGTCCAACGGCCAGGGGTAAGACAGGGATCATGTCAGGACGAAGCAGAGAGCGCGGCATTGCATTGCATTGGTTCAGGCAAAGTCCACCGCTGGAGCGCGGCACAGGCCCTACAAAAAGACGCCGCAAATGCCCTCGCACAAACCGAATGGGATGGCTCACATCAGCCCGCGTTTAAATCGCCTCAGTGGCAACGAGTTACATGAAATCTTTGTTTGCACTGCCGTCCACCGCGGGGTTTGAGGGGATATATTAAGTGAACAGTGCTTGTTCACAACCACACACACTCTCTCTTGGGACGATGGCAAATAGCCGCCGCGGACTGCTAAAAGTAGAGAGAGTCCATGCAAGGTGCGGCCGATGCTATTAATAGACGACTCACTCGCTCGGCACACCACCAAACCACTTGCTCTTCCCCCTCCCCTCCCTCCCGAATCAATCCTAGACTTCAATTAGCTCCTCGGTGGTCTGGGCGCTGAAGATCACGGCCTGTGTCCCAAGCAGCCCCCAATTGCCGAAACATGGCCCCCGGCCAGGCAGAGACGGGATCTCGCT